GCTTCTTTCAGCATGTAAATAGGAAGAGGAAGGGGAGACAAGTGGTGGGGCCACTAAATAAGGAGGAAGGAGATCCACTGACTGATACGAGGGAACAGGCACAGATGCTAAATGACTATTTCGCCTCTGTGTTCTCCCCAAAGCAGGATGGGGGAGATCCGCATAGGAGATTAGATGAAGCTGGGGACTTAGGGGCACAGATTAGAGTCACCCCCCTTGAAGTCGAGGGGCTTCTCAGGGCATTGGACATTACAAAGGCACCAGGCCCTGATGGGTTACACCCGAGAGTACTTAGAGAGTTGGCAGGGGTTCTCTCCCACCCACTGGCCTCCATTTTTGAGACCTCATGGAGAACAGGTGACGTTCCAGAGGGCTGGAGGGTGGCATCAGTGGTCCCAATTTTCAAAAAGGGTAGTAGAAAGGACATAGGGGATTATAGACCGGTTAGCCTTACATCCATTGTAGGAAAAACAATGGAAAGGCTCATAATAGAGAGAGATCTATTGATGCTAAATAGGGAAGGGAGGCTGACAGCCACACAACACAGCTTCCGCAAAAAAAAGGTCCTACCAGACAAACCTTGTGAAATTCTATGACAAGGTTTCAAGATGGCTAGATGGAGGGGATGCAGTGGATTTGGTATACCTGGATTTCAGCAAGGCCTTTGACAACGTGCCCCATGATACCCTGGTGGAGAAACTGAGGAATTTTGGGATACACCAAAGCACTGTCCGGTGGATTAGGGCATGGTTGACAGACCGAAAGCAGAGGGTAACCATTAGTGGGGAATCATTGGGATGGCAGCCAGTGACAAGTGGGGTCCCCCAGAGCTCTGTCCTGGGGCCGATCCTGTTTAATCTTTTCATTAACGACATGGAAGAAGGGGTGAACAGTCTGCTGATCAAATTCGCAGACGACACTAAAACTGGAGCAGTTGGCCACAAGTGAGGAGCAGGTACTCCAGATCCAAAAGGATCTGGTCAGACTGTGGAAGTGGACAGGAGACAACAGGATGGCGTTCAATGTGGATAAGTGCAAGGTCTTGCACTTGGGGCATAGGAATTATTATTATTATTATTATTATTATTATTATTATTATTATTATCATTACATTTCTATGCCGCCCCTTGCCGAAGCCTCGGGGCGGCTTACAACACAATAAAATACATTGAAATACAATAGAACATAATAAATTACCATTAAATACAAAAATACAAAAAATACACTGAGATACAAATATAATGATATAAAATTAAAATTAACAGTATAAAATAAGTAAACAAAGAATATAGGAGGAGAAAAGAGAAGGAAGAAGAAGTTGCCCTGGCCAGATCATATATTTTAAGAATTAAAATGATGTTTAAATAAAAAGGTCTTTACCTGGTGCCGAAAAACCAGTAATGACGGTGCCAGGCGGACCTCTTTGGGGAGTGAATTCCATAGGTTGGGCGCCACCGCAGAGAAAGCCCTCCTCCGAGTACTTACTCTCCTAATTTCTTTCATGGAGGGTTCCCGGAGAAGGGACTCTCCCGCAGATCTCAAGGGGCGGTCGGGCATATACGGACGTAAGCGCTCGTTCAGGTAGCCAGGACCCAAGCCATTTAGGGCTTTATAGGTCATAACCAACACCTTGAATTGGGTCTGGGCTTCAATGGGAAGCCAGTGAAGCTGACAGAGGACTGGAGTCATGTGAGCATAACACCCCGTCCCCGTCAGCAACCTGGCAGCTCTATTTTGCACCAATTGAAGTGTTCGGACCGTCTTCAGGGGAAGCCCCACGTAAAGCGCGTTACAGAAGTCTAGGTGGGAAGTCACCAGCGCGTGTGTCACCGTCGCCAGGCAGTCATACTCCAGGTAGGGGCGCAGCTGATTAATCAGCCGAAGCTGAAGGAAGGCGCTCCTCACCACCGCTGTCACCTGAGCTTCCAAAGAAAGCTCTGGGTCGAGGAGTACTCCTAAGCTGCGGACCTTGTCCCTAAGAGGGAGTGTTGCACCATTCAGGACCAGGTCAAATCCACCCTCTCTGAAGCCCGATCCGCCAACCAACAGGACCTCCGTCTTGTCTGGATTGAGTTTCAGTTTATTGGCCCTCATCCATTCCATTACCTCGGCCAAGCACCGGTTCAGCACAGCCACTGCCTCACCTGGATTAGTGGAAAACGAGAGGTAGAGCTGGGTATCATCAGCGTATTGATGATTCCACAGCCCACACCTCCTGATGACCTCTCCCAGCAGTTTCATATAGATGTTAAATAGCAAAGGGGATAGAATGGAGCCCTGTGGTACTCCATGGCATAGCTGCCATGGCACAGAGACATAGTCCCCCAGCACTACCTTCTGGAATCGACTGTTGAGATAGGAGCGGAACCAGTGCAAAGCAGTGCCTCCAACCCCCAATCCTGCTAGCCTATCCAGAAGGATACCATGGTCGATGGTATCGAAAGCCGCTGAGAGGTCCAGAAGAACCAACAGGGATGCACTCCCCCTGTCCTTCTCCCTGTACAGGTCATCGTACAGGGTGACCAAGGCAGATTCAGTACCGTACCCGGGTCTGAAGCCGGACTGAAAAGGATCCAGATAATCAGTTTCATCCAAGAGTGCTTGGAGTTGTCCCGCCACCACTCGCTCCAACACCCTGCCCAGAAACGGGATGTTGGCCACAGGTCTATAATTAGTGGCCATCTCTGGATCCAGTGACGCTTTCTTCAGGACCGGTCGTATTACCGCCTCCTTTAAAGGGGCAGGCACTCGACCCTCCCTCAGAGAAGCGTTAACCACTTCCAAGATCCAGGTCCCAATCCCGTGCTTGGAGTTATTTATTAACCAAGACGGGCAAGGATCCAATAGGCAAGTGGTGGGATGTACTCGTCCAAGCACCTTGTCCACATCATTGGGCCGCAATAATAGAAATTCCTCCAATAATTTTGGACCAGATGGTAGCACTGGCGTCTTCCCAGAGACCTCTGATTCATTAGTGGAGTCCATCTCATGACGAATCTGAGCGATTTTCTCCCTGAAATGCCTAGCAAAGTCATCACAGCGGGCCTTTGAGGGTGGCATCGGATCTTCCTTAGGACCCGGGCGAACCAGGCCTTGTACCACTCGAAAAAGCTCCGCCGGACGGCATTGTGAGGAGGCAATGGAAGTGGAAAAAAACTTCCTAAGGCCCATTTGACTTCACATTCCAGGATGTCTGGCTCAAGGTCAGTGACCACCCCATTGTGGTTATCAGGGACGTTGAGCTCTTTCTTGTATAGTTCCTCTGTGTAATCTTGCCACCTCTTCTTAATCTCTTCTGCCTCCGTTAGATTCCTGCCATTTTGGTCCTTTATCATGCCCATCTTTGCATGAAATGTTCCCTTCATATCTCCAATTTTCTTGAAAAGATCTCTGGTCCTCCCTATTCTATTGTTTTCTTCTATTGCACTGTTCATTTAAGAAGGCATTCTTATCTCTTCTAGCTATTCTCTGGAATTCTGCATTCAATTGGGTGTATCTTTCTCTTTCTCCCTTGCCTTTTGCTTCTCTTCTTTCCTCAGCTATTTGTAAAGCGTCTTCAGACAGCCATTTTGCTTTCTTGCATTTCTTTTTCTTTGGGATGGTTTTAGTTGCTACTTCTTGTACAATGTTGCGAACCTCCATCCATAGTTCTTTAGGCACTCTTTCTATCAGATCTAGTTCCTTAAATCTATTTGTCACCCCTACTGTATATTCATCAGGGATATGATTTAGGTCATACCTGAGCGGCCTAGTGCTTTTCCCTACTTTCTTCAATTTAAGCCTAAATTTTGCAACGGGAAGCTCATGATCTGAGCCACAGTCAGCTCCTGGTCTAGTTTTTAGTGACTGTATAGAGCTCCTCCATGTTTGGCTGCAGAGCACATAGTCAATCTGATTTCTGTGTTGACCGTCTGGTGATGTCCATGTGTAGAGTCGTCTCTTGAGTTGTTGGAAAAGAGTGTTTGCTATGACTATCGTATTCGCTTGACAAAATTCTACCAGCCTGTGCCCTACTTCATTTTGTACTCCAAGGCCAAACTTGCCTGTTATTCTGGTTATCTTTTGGCTTCCTACTTTAGCATTCCTATCCCCCATGATGATGAGGACATAATTTTTGGGTGTTAATTCTAGAAGGTGTTATAGGCCTTCATAGAACCGGTCAACTTCAGCCTCTTCAGCACCAGTGGTTGGGGCATAGGCTTGGACTACTGTGATGTTGAATGGTTTGCCTCGGATTCGAACTGAGATCATTCTGTCATTTTGGAGATTGTATCCCAGTACTGCTTTTCCTACTCTTTTATTGACTATGAAGGCTACGGCATTTCTTCTGAGGGATTCTTGCCTGCAATAGTATACCTGATGGTCATCTGAATTAAATTCACCCATTCCTGTCCATTTTAGTTCACTGATTCCTAAGATGTCGATGTTCAGTCTTGTCATCTCTTGTTTGACCACATCCAGCTTGCCTTGATTCATGGATCTTACATTCCAGGTTCCTATGGAGTATAGATCATTGCAGCATCAGACTTTCCTTTCACCACCAGATACATCAGCCACTGAGTGTCCTTTTGGCTTTGACCCAGTCACTTCATTCTTTCTGGCGCTACTAGTACTAGCCATCAGCTCTTCCCCAGTAGCATATTGGACACCTTCCGACCTGAGCGGCTCATCTTCCGGCGTCATATCTTTTTGCCTTTTGGTACTGTCCATGGGGTTTTCATGGCAAAGATACTGGAGTGGGTTGCCATTTCCTTCTCCAGTGGATCACATTTTGTCAGAGCTCTCTGCTATGACCTGTCTGTCTTGGGTGGGCCTGCACGGCATAGCTCATAGCTTCATTGAGCTACCTAAGCCCCTTCACCATGACAAGGCAGTGATCCATGAAGGAGGAAATGCAAATATAATAAAATATATTACATGCAAGCTTCCTTTATTAATGTCATTCCTCATATCAGTTGCTGAGGAATTACACTTTGACTTTCGGTTTTGTGTTCCTTCCTCTTAACATAAGAAGAAGAGCAGAAAGGTTTTGCGAGAAGGAGCTGAAACATTTACACTGGAGAGAAGGTACATTCTTTTCCTCTAGCTAAGATACAGAATAGAGACATTCTATATTTATGGGGAATTTGACTTGTTAAACATGCATAATTGGTTGTGTTGTCAACTGTTCGTAATTTTTATGGACTGTTCATAAAACGCCTTTGCTTCTGCAGCCAGAGGAAACGTCCTTGCCTGACAGAAGGTCCCCCTCTGTGCAGCAGTTAAAGGGAAGTGAAAGGGGTGATTCAGGGTGAAGCCGTCATTGCACTTTTCCACCTTGACTTCTGCCGGTCCGGCAGTCCAGCTTGCCTTGCCAGCCTGCCTTTGCAGTGGGGCTGCCTCTTTTCCATGTGGGCCAAGGATGCCCTCAGTGCCACCAGAAATTCCTGGAAATTCCTGCCCCGGTCCAAGCATCTCTGCGAGTCCTGCAGCCCCGTTGATGCTTAGAAACGGCCCCCAGGGACTGAGGAGGGCGGGAAATAAAAATTAAGAAAATAGAAAGTGAAGACACTAGCCACTGAATGTGCTTGGTGCGTGCACAATGTTGATCCCGGGACGGGGCTCGCACGCTATGAGAAGCAAGCTACGCAGTGGGGCAGGCCCATGGTATGCAGCAGGCCCTCTCTTCCCTTCTCCCCCGCCCCGCCCTCCCCAGGGTATCCCATAGACCCCTGTGGGGGAAACAAGCCTTTGCCCCTTCTATGCTCCAGCAAGCCCGTGAATGCGCACCCACACGTCTCTGCAAGCACACAGGGCCCCGATTCAGACTGGAACCCGATGCTCTGGGTTAAAACGGTTCCTCTGGTGCCCATTCTGACCCTGCTTGGAGATCCTCCCCTCCTCCAGTGGAGCCTCTTCCTCACCCTCCACACGGTGTGTGGGTGTGTCTATGTGCAATTTCGTGGAACAGGGAGGTTTCGATAATAAAATGTGCGGGGGCAGGATTTAACCCTTATCAGGGCCGTGCATGCTCACACAAAAATACATTCAGTTTGGCTGTTGTTGGAGTTGCTCTCGTAAAAGCTCGAACTGTTATGCATTAAAATAATGAAGAGCCTCACCTCTCCTCTCCCCCTCCCCATCTGCAGGGCTTTTCCTTCCTTGATCCTTCTCTGGGCAAAAGCAAAACAGCCCCAGGCTATGCTAATGATCAACCCGATTGCCCAGCTAACTCATGCTTTGTATGAAGAAATTTTGTATCTCTGATTGTAAAATTCAAAACATTAAATCCTGCTAGAATTCTGTACCTCCTGATTGTTTTATTTGTTACCTGCAACTCAAGCCTTCGAAATGCCATGATTTTTTCCTGATGTCTATAATGATTTCTGTATTATGATTTTTTCGCTTCCCCACTGTCCTCGCCTTCTAATCCTTCAGCTCCTTCTAGCAAAGTTCTCCCAGCTTTCCTGTTATAAATATAGGAAAGGTGGTAAAAGCTGGCCTGGCATCTGCGGCACCACACAAAGCAAAATGAGGACTTTGGGTACAGGGTCTTTGGCTGGACTGCCACCTGCAGCGCCCAGCAAAACATGCCGCCGTCCCCGGAGCGCAGCCACAGCTACCGGGGAGCTGGGACAGCCTGCTTGGCGGGCCTCCTCCTGGGAAGATCGGGTGGCGTGCGCCACCTCCTTGCAGCCAGCATCGTGGGCAGCCGTGCTGCAGAGGGGGAGATGGGGGGCACAGCCAGGGCTGTGCCGAGAATGCCTCAGTGAAGGTGCTGCAAGCGAGGGCTAGAGATGAGCTGGGGCAGGGCCTCGCTGTGCCGCCACCACACACTCGGGGGCAGAGTTAGAGCCACATCTGTTGGCCAGAAAAAATCCCAGGCCGAACCTGGACATGTGGCAGCGCCAAAGGTTCAGGAAGCCTGGTGGCAGCGGCAACACTCACAAGCAATGAACTGATTCCTTTGGTGTACACCTCTCCCCACTCTCATACACAATTGTTTATTTATTGTTGCTTCCTCCCATTGCCTAATTTTGGATCTTCTGCAAAATTACACTTCTCTCTCCACAGTGTGCGTGCAGTAAGGGACTGTTTGAAACATCACTGAAAACCTTGAGCTTTGAGTTCTTCTTTCCTTCCCATTTTACAGGAACTGTGACACTTGCACACCCACAGCAGCTCAGAAAGCCAGCAAGAAGAACAGAAAACTTTTCAAAATTGCTTCTTGCCCTGCACAGTATGGAATTGCTGGGGGCACAGAAGGAGGAAGGTCAGATGGCTCAAAAGAAGGCTAAGACCACTGTAGACTCCTCCTCTCTCTTTGATAATAGCGACACTGATAAGACTGAAGAAAAGCTCCGTGTAAGTGAGACTCTCCACAATCCTCCAGGGAACATCTTCAATGAGTACATAGAAACATAGAAACAGAGCCAGTCAGAAGGGGCCTCCTGGGCCATCTAGTCTGGCCTCCGGCTCCAGCCAGCTCCGCTCACGACATGCCCACCATGTGGACATCCAGCCTATCCTTGAACACCCGCACCGATGGGGCCTCAACGACCTCTGGTGGAAGCCCATTCCACACCCTCGGGGTCCTGACTGTCAGGAAGTGCTTCCTGGCATCCAAACGGTACCTTGGCTCCCTGAGCTTTGCTCCGTTGGAGCGCGTTCTGCCTTCCTCTGCAGGGGAGAGCAGGTCTCTACCCATCTCCATGTGACACCCCCTCACATACCTGTATGTCGCCAACATATCCCCTCTGAGTCTCCTCTTCTCCAGGCTGAAGAGACCCAGTTCCCTCAGTCTCACCTCATACGGCATCCCCTGCAAACTGGCCAGCAACCTTGTGGCCCTGCGCTGCACTGACTCTAACCTGGCTATATCCTTTCTGTAATGAGGGGCCCAAAACTGAGCACAATACTCCAGTTGCAGGCGCACCAGAGTCGTATAGAGTGGTAGTAATACCTCTCTCGATCTAGAAGCCACACTTCTGGCTATGCGACCAAGGGTGATGTTCACCCTCTTGACCACCGCATCACACTGCTGACTCATGTTTAACCTGCAGTCAACCAGTACCCTGAGGTCCCTTTCACAAGTGCTGCTCTCCAGCCACTTGTCACCTAACCTGTACTTATGACACCTATTCCTATGGCCCAAGTGCAAGACCTTGCACTTATCCACATTGAACACCATCCTGTTGTCTCCCATCCACTTCCATAGTCTGTCCAGATCCTTTTGGATCTGGAGTACCTGCTCCTCAGTTGTGGCCACTGCTCCAGTTTTAGTGTCGTCTGTGAATTTGATCAGCAGACTGTTCACTCCTTCTTCCATGTCATTTATGAAAAGATTAAACAGGATCAGCCCCAGGACAGAGCTCTGGGGGACCCTGCTTGTCACTGGCTGCCATCCCAATGATTCCCCACTAATGGTTACCCTCTGCTTTCGGTCAGTCAGCTATGCCCTAATCCACCAGACAGTACTTTGGTGTATCCCAAACTCCTCAGTTTCTCCACCAGGGTATCATGGGGCATGTTGTCTAAGGTCTTGCTAAAATCTAGGTAAACCACATCCACTGCATCCCCTCCATCTAGCCATCTTGAAACCTTGTCATAGAATTCCACAAGGTTTGTCTGGCAGGACCTGTTTTTGCGGAAGCTGTGTTGTGTGGCTGTCAGCCTCCCTTCCCTATCTAGCATCACTAGATCTCTCTCTATTATGAGCCTTTCCATTGTTTTTCCTACAATGGACGTAAGACTAACCAGTCTATAATTCCCCATGTCCTTTCTACTACCCTTTTTGAAAATTGGGACCACTGATGCCACCCTCCAGCCCTCTGGAACGTCACCTGTTCTCCATGAGGTCTCAAAAATGGAGGCCAGCGGGTGTGAGAGAACCCCTGCCAACTCTCTAAGTACTCTCGGGTGTAACCCGTCAGGGCCTGGTGCCTTTGTAATGACCAATGCCCTGAGAAGCCCCTCAACCTCTAGGGGAGGTAACTCTAATCTGTGCCCCTAAGTCCCCGGCCTCATCTAATCTCCTATGCAGATCTCCCCCGTTCTGCTTTGGGGAGAACACAGAGGCAACATAGTCATTTAGATCTGTGCCTGTTCCCTCATATCAGTCACTGGATCTCCTTCCTCCTTATTTAGTGGCCCCACCACTTGTCTCCCCTTCCTCTTCCTATTTACATGCTGAAAGAAGCCCTTTTTGTTGCTCTCAATATTCTTGGCAAGTCTCAGCCTTACCCTTGCGAAGAATCCTTCTGCGACAGGCCTCCTCCTCCCGTTATACCCTTTCGTCAATTTGCCCCAGTACCCATTTCCTACAGAGGTTCCTCTTTCGTCTAATCCCTCTAACCACCTCCTTTCGCATCCATGGCGGCACTCTCCTCCACCTCCCCACCTTACTGACTAGAGGTATCGTCAAGGCTTGTGCCTCCAAAACCTCCCTTTTCAGTGCCATCCACCCCTCCTCAACTCGCTTACCTTCCAGTAACTTATCCCAGGAGACTTTCCCCAGTCTGGCCTTCAGTTGGCCAAAGTTGGCCCTCTTGAAGTCCCAGCTTCTAGTGCTCGACCTGCTGCACGTCCTCAGTCCCCTGATCTCAAAGCAAAGGATGGAGTGATCATCCGCATCCATCTATACTTCATCTATCAGCTCCTCTCTATTGGTCAAAACCAAGTCAAGGATGTCTCCCCCCACCCCCCTCGTTGCCTCTCGGACCCCGTGTGAAAAACCCTCCCTCTATAGCGTCTAGGAAGTGACGTGACCTGGCTGTCACCTCTGAGTGAGTCTCCCAACTAATATCCGGGAGATTGAAATCTCCCATAATTACTGTGTCTCTCCCCCGAGATACCCTTAGAATCTGGCCTGTCAGGACATCATCCAGGGTCTCAAGTTGACCTAGAGGGCGATAACTTACCCTCACTGTCAGGTCTCTTTCCCTGTCAAAACCCCTAAGTTTCTCCCAGACTGCCTCTGCCGAATCCTCATCTGTGCAGTACAATTAAGTCAAGAAGGCAATGAAGATCAAGAAGGGGCAGCATGAGTTCCATTTCAGGCGGGGCTTCAGAAAGATTCCCACAGGACAACAGCAACTGAGCCAGGATCCCTGAAAAGGGGTGTCATCAATCTATGATACTGCTTTTCCTTTGCAGAAGATGTGTGCTGGCCTACAGTCCATTGATAATGAAAACCCGGTACGCAAGCTCCCCCGTAAAGGTAACGCTTCTCTATGAATCTACATAATCTTTCAATACTGCCTCTTTTTCTTTTCTGTTTTGCTGCCAAAAGGCCACCAAGGCTATGCACAACCTAAGAAACAGGAAAACAAAGCTACTAAAATGACAATGAAAATGAACATGCCAAAAATATTCTTAAAGGCTTAAAGGGCAAGGAGATGTGTCTCTTCCCGCTGCTTTTCTCAGTGCTAAGAGTGGGGACCAGCCATAAGGGAACGGGATTGGTCAGGTTGCATACCTGTAACTGTTATTCTTCAAGTGCTCATCTGTGCATTCACACATCGGTGCTGCACCTGTGCGGTGCCACATGTGGGAAGATTCCTCTAGCAAAGCCTAGAATTTTTGGTGGGAGCCCCACCCCACTTCCCCATTATTTAAATAGGCAGTCCAACTGGAGACCAATGTTTACCCTTTGTCTAGGTCCCTATCTGTCATTCTGTAGATAGTAGGTAAAAAGAGAGAGAAAATATCCACCGGCACTGATGCAGGGCAGCAGGTGGGTTCTGTGAAGGCACAGATGACCACTTGAAGAATGACAGTTACGGATATGCAACCTGACTTTCTTCGTCATGATCTCCATGTATCACACATGCCATTGAAGGAGGTGGGAGGCGTCATCACAGGAGAACAGATGACAACACAGCATGACCACAGGAGCAGTCCTGTCTGGCTTTCACATCAAACCGATGGTGATGGACAAACATGGATGGCATTGACCACGTAGCTGCTCTGCATGTGTCCAGTGGCAGTCCTGTGTGAAGGGCCACTGATGTCGATACCGCCCTGGTGGAATGAGCTCTACGGTGGTTTGGCAAGCCCAAGTCTAGACTAAACTAGCTGTACACTAATTTGTCTCTACAATCCAGTGCACGAAGCATTGGGGACCAACTGGCTCACCTTTGGAGTGGTCCACATACTTCATGAACAGTCGTTTTGTTTTGGGAACCAACTCAGTGCGGGACTAATAGAAAGCTAGTGTGAGATGAACGCTGAGCATATGCAGACTCCTTTCAATGTCCATAGATGGTGACAGGTAAAATGCTGGGAGCACCATTCCTTGATTTACGTGAAAGGAGGAAGAGACTTTAAGGAGAAAGGATGGGTTGGTATGAAGAACTGCTTTTTCTTTGTGGAAAGTCAAGTATGGAGGAGTTATCCTTAGTGTGCAGAGTTTACTTGCTCTACGAGCTAAGGTGATGGCCACCAGGAAGAAGAACTTCCAAGAGACAAGGTGAAGGACCATGGTCATGAATGGTTTGGATGGTGGTTTTGTCAGCACATGGAACACTATGGATAAACTTCAACTGGGGACGATTGATCGGACAGGAGGATTCAGGTTCTTGAAGCCTTTCACGAAGTGTCGTGAAAGGGGATGAGAGAAAGCTGAGTAGCCCTCACTGGGACCTCAGAAGGCGGAAACTGTGGACAGGTACACCTTGATAGGAGTTGATTTAAGTCCTTTTTGGTGTAGGGAACATAGAAACACCAGAATATATTGTATGGCCACTGTAGCTGAGTTGTGGTCCTTTGTGTAACCCCTGAACTTTACTCATTTGGTTGAATAAGAGCATCTGGTAGTAGGATGCAATGCTGCGTATAGAATGTCTTGGATCCATGGGTCCAAGGTGGCGGTTGTGGCTGTCTAGTAATCTGGTGTATTATTGAGGAATTACCAGTGGAAATGTGTGCTGGGGTTACACTTTTGGTCAGAATGTTAGACATGGAGCTTTGGATCGGAGTAGAAGCTTGTAGCTGGAGCGGGTTTTTGGAATGCAGCCATGCTGTTAGAAGTCTTTGCATGTCAGAGTGTACTACTATTCCCCCCTGTGCCTGGGACAGTAAGTTTGGAATCGAGGGTAGGTGTAGGAAGTTGTGTTTGGACAGATGAAGCAGGGATGGAAGCCAAAGATCCCCGGGCCACCATGGCGTTATCAGGATGGCTTGCATGTGATTGCTCCTCATTTTCACTATCTTCCTCATGATGAGGGGGAGTGGAGGAAAGGCAGGGAAGAAAGCTCCCATCCATGGCACGAGGAATGTGTCGCCCGTAGAGTTCTTGCCAGTTCCCTCTCTGGAACAGGGATTACTGCATGCGGCATTCTCTTTCATGGCAAAGGGGTCTGTGGGTGGGATGCCCCATGCAGCAGTGATGTTGTTCAGGATTTCTCTGTTGCGCTCCCGTTTGTGAACTTGGGACGGCGTGTGGCCGAGTATGTCTGCAGTCACATTGTGCATCCCTGCCATACGGATGGCCACCAGGGTGATGTCATGGTGGGTGCACCAGTCCCGTATTTGCAGGGCCGGTCACATCAGTGTGATGGATCTTGTCCCACCCTGTTTGTTGATACAGAATACTGGGATGGCATTGCCCGAAAATATCTGTACATGTCTGCCAAGCAACATGTTCTGTAGAGCAAGGAGTCCCTCGCAGACAGCCAGGAGCTCCATGAGGTTTACAAGGAGCCTCTTTTTGGATCTGGTATTGGCCAGAATGGCCACCGCAACTGCTGGGGGATGCATCAGTGGTCAGTAATGTTGTCAGTTCTGCGGGTAGGAATGGAAGTTCCTCCGACAGATTCAACTCATGCATCCACCAGGCTAGGCTTGCCTTCACGTGGAGGGGCAGTGCCAGTGTTTTCTGGGGCAAGTCTCACTTGGGCCAGAATGCTCTAATTAATCGGATCCTGAGGCACTGCAAACAGCAGCTGAAAGCTAACTGAAGAAATGGCAGAAGACGGCCTATTTCTATAATGGGGAAGCGGGGTGGGGCTCCTGCCAAAGAGGAGGCTTAGCTAGAAGAATCTTCCCGAATGCGGCACTGCACAGGCATAGCACCCATATGTGTGACGCACCAAGACCATGACGAAGAGCCCAGAATCTAGGCAGGTAATGGAGAGAAGAAACTTTGTTCACTCCTCAGGTTCTCCTTCGGGGATCCAGATGGAAGTAAGTGCTCACTATGGTGCATTGCCATGACTGTGGAGCAGATCCATTCACATTCCACGGAAATCCTCTCCATCCAACAGGACTGTTTTTACGCAATGCTTATCCACCCAGCCAGCCCACATGTCTTTCCCTGCTCTCCTCCAACTTTTATGATTTCATTGTACTATTGAAACATGTAAGCGAATCTTGAACTGGAAAGGTTAACTCACATTTAATCTATAGATCATATCAGCTTGTCAAGTTGCTCTTGTTTAGCCGTCCGGAAAAATGTACCCTCAAGTCTGGAAGAAGTAAGTCAGATAACAGCAAAGCTCCGTATTATTGATGAAAACCCCTATGAAGAGACCACACGTAAACCAGCACTGAGGAGTAGAGGTATGCCCACCAACTACAAGTTCCCTGAGCATATATAGAGTGTTTTATAGGTTTTGAGTCATGTATAGAGGAACAGAGTTGATGAGGGAAGAATAGCTACATTGCAAAAGATAAAGCATCCATAAACAGAATATGAGTTAACTGCAGAGGAGATATGACATAATGTTACCGTAAGTGTCAGTGGGTCAACAAGGCAAACAGTATGGCACATGCATCACAACGGATCCTAGGTGTGGGTTTTGACACGCAAGAGCAGGTAATTTCATAAGAACAGGGAAATCTAGTCAGGGCTGCTGCCCCAAGCAGGATACAATATTTCAATGAAGCCCTAGTCAGAAGTTTAACAGGCTGCATGCTCAGGAATACCAGAGAGGCTTTGCAACAATTGTAGCAGCTGCCTCAGGCAGGCAGAGAGCCTCAGTGCCTTGAAGGAACAGATGAATAATGCGCTGCCACTTCCCAGGGAAAAGGAGCTTGGATGAAAGTTCTGGTGCTTTCTGGGCAAGGGGAGCAGGGACTCTGTGAGTTTGATATTTGTATCACAGAGGCACATATAAGCAACCTCGCATTATAGAGATTTATTTGGATTTTCCCAACACTCTGAAGAACATGTTTATTTCCTTTCTATTCATTCTTTATTTCATTTCATTAATCCTAAATTCTTTCTTTTGCCGCTATTATCCTGCTTCCTGTCACTTTAAAAGATGCTGTTCTTCTCAAAACCAATGTGGTCTAACTACTCCCATCCAGATGAAGGGGGCTTCTGCAGTCAAGGACAACCCGAGAGAATAGTGGACGCTTCCACATTAGGCATTTATTATGAAATGACCAATTTCCTTCACACCTAGTGATGCTGGTCAGGGCACTGAATGAGTTCACCAAATGTGACAATCAACCCTGCATCATTACCAGCATTTGTGGGGTTTTTACCATGATCCATCTGACAGATAATCAAGTAATTTCTACATTATCGTGATTCCCATCTTCCCTACTCATTCCTCCGGCTGTTGGCAGGTATCCCATCAGCCACCACACCTGAAATTCAGTCCCAAGCTCCATCACTCCCTGCCTATGTTGCCTGACTCTTCCTCAGTGGTCCACACAGGCAGGATGGATGGATGGAACGGCCACCACTCTTTCCAGTGGAAAGCGCCACCATGACCCTGGGTTCAGATATCACAAGCAGTGGTCGTACAGAGATATCACAGAACAAGCCGCTGTTTCTTATCATGGTTTCTAAAGCCAAACTGGCGAAAAATCACAACTGCATTCAAATAACACAATAGACAAACAACGATAAACAATCACCATGACTTGTTGTGGTGACTGACTGGGCTCACATGTTGTGCAAAGCCATGGTGATTTTTTTTTTTTTTTTTAGCATTGTTGGTCTATCATATCACTGGAACCCAGTTGTGGTGTTTGGCACAATAGATTTGGTTTCCCAAAACCATTGAGAGATTCAACAGTTTTCTAGCTTCATTGTGGCATCTTGTGATGTCCAGATTGGAGATCTCTATTTTATCACTGGAGGTGTGGAAAGAGCAGCAATGGAAAGACAGCTCCAAGCATCCAGTTTCTAGCCTGTGCATCTCCACTCACTCTATTCCTTTTGGCGCAGCACTGTTTACTTTTGGAAACAAGGAGAACATGGGTAAATGTAAGCAGGAGAAGGCATGGAATCATGGCAAAAGTGTTTATTTGAATTAAAAATGGTTTGGGGACTGGAGTGGCTTGGAAGTACTGCAGAGATGGTGCTTACAGGAAGGGAACGGGGGAACTACCTGCCTGAAAACCTCAGCAGGCCAGTCAGGAAGAGGCAGCTGAGGTTCAAAGGGAACATGCAGTACTGAAAGGATTTTCCTCATGGGAGCTGCTGGAATGTGTGGTGGGACAGGGACGATGGCATGGGAAGCATGGAAACTGCATTGCCGTGGGCACCACGAGACCCGTAGGTTCCAGCAAAGATCCACATGCCATGGAAGCAGTGAGGGTCTTCTTGCTGTGTTATGCAAGCCCGTCATTGTCTCTCGCTCCAGCCACGGGCTGCCTTGCGGTATGACCAAACACTGAGATCTTCACTGTTTTTACCAACATAAACAAATGTTATTTATTTATTTATTTATTTAGAATTTTTGCATGCCATCCCATTTGCATGAGCCTCGGGACGGCTTCCATACAATAAATAAACAAACCATATAAATAGTGCACATAAAATCCAGATTCACACTGGCTGTAAAATTAAAACCTATAGATAATATTAAAAGTTGTTAAAATATTGTTTAAATAAAAAGGTCTTGGCCTGGCACCGAAAAACAAATAACAATGGCGCCAGGTGGACCTCTCTGGGGAGCGCATTCCAATTTAACAAATGTCCTTTCCTCTAAAAACAAAAGAAAAGAAAAATTCTGGTTCCTTTCATCCAGTAGATGTTTCCAATTTATCCATTTATTTATTTATGAACATGAACTTGTGAAACTGCTGTGTGAACTGTGAAGGTGCTACAGCTCCTGCTGTAGAACAGGGAGCAGAGAAAGAAATGAGTGGCCACTCAGAGGGCCCTGAAGCCTGCTGGGATCCTGTCATCTGTAAACTGTGCCCCTTGAAGGTAAGGACTGGATTTGTTCTATCTGCATTTCCAACACATAGGAATGGGCTTAGACAGATGGCTTTCATGTGGAACTGCCGTGAAGTTCTAGTCTTCTAGGGAAAATCATTGCCATTTTCAATTATTTTGGGTGTGTAGATAGAAAAGCTCCCAGCAGGCCTCAGCCAGTGATGTGCCTTTGTTTATACTCATGATTTTTCTGTAGCTATTCTACTCTGGTTGCTGCACTTTGGGAGTAAGTTGTACTCATGGAGATGGAGTATTACTTATTTGTACTACGTTCATTGTACTCTACTGTGATCATGCTTATTTAAAATATATTTGCTGGTATTTAATGTGCCACAAGAATACTAGTGTGCTTTCCTGCAACAGACAATTATGAGCTCTGTGAGACATTTTCTTCCGTTTCCTAATTTCTGTCTCTGGCCAGTCTCACTGACTGATCCCTGCTTTCATACTCTTCTTCCTGTGCATGTTTAAACAGAAAAAGACCTGCAATGCCCAGCATGCTCTGGCTAGCTGCAAGTTGTAGGACTTGGCCTCTCAGCTGAAGAGAATTTTACAAGAATTTGTCAAAACGATCTGCTCTTTCCCAATACTCCAATCAGTGGAGGTTTGGGGAATATTTTTTGAAACATTGATTAATGCGCATTGGCCATGCAGTGGAGTTCTTCAGATTTCTTTACTTTATTCCCTTGAGCAAAGGGGAGGGGGGCAAAGGGGCAGGATGAAGTTTCCTATGGACACTGGTGCTCATTCGTACAGATGTGTGGACATGGACACAAAATGTCACTTTTGCCCAGCTTCCCTTCCCTAATCATTATGGGATGATTATTGAATGTGTGTACATTACAGTAGCTTACTAATACGCCATACTTCAAAGTCAGTACAAATCACGCTGTTTTGGCATAAATTAATCCAGAAATAATTTGCAATGTGTAACTGGGGTATGGGCTCAGGCAGTCATCAGGCAGGGAATAGGGGTGTTACAGTGACGAAAATGTCACTGGTTTGGGGTGGGGTGGGAGGTAGCCCATCTAACAACTGTTGCTTTGTTAGTTTTTTCCAGTTTGTATCAGGCCTGAGATTATTTCAGATCATCAGAGCAGCTGCAAAATCTACAGGTGAGCAATTTCTGGGGACTCCAAGACTTGCTTGGGGTCCCCAGAACACAGGGACCCTGGTGGAGTGTGGGGGGAGGGCTAAACCAGAGCACAATCTGTGAAAGCTGGAAATTGAAACGTCTGAGATGGAGAAGGGTGCCTGTTTCTTCTCATTAATAAATAGGCTTGAAAACAGGAATTTTCTTTGCTTGCTTTCCCTCCTTAGGTTTGATTACAGTTTCCCCAAAGTCCATGCCTCTTGTCGGTCTCTGCCATTTTTTAAAATTTTTGCTCAGTTCCTTGTGATACCAACCATCCATCTAAGTTGCCGTCACCTTTCTACTATTTTCCTGGGTACCTGATTGAAGGAGCAATTCTATACAAGTTTAGATGGAAAAATGGCCTATAGCCCCTACCTGTACACCACTTTTCTGCCTATACTTATGTGGGATTATGTTCTAAATAATTGCTAGATTTATTGACATTCTACATGTCCAAGCCATGTGCTGCCATGCACTGTCTTGAGCAGCGTATATACACGTGAGCAGTTTTGTTCTTCAATCGCCATGCTTTTACAAGTTATTTGATTGCTTTTAGTCGAATTGTCTCATGTCAAAGCTTCCCAAAAACTCTGCTTTTCACGTTGTTGCCTGCCACTCATAAGGCTGCTCTTGGGGGAAGGAGAAGGTCCTCCAACCCTGCTAACATGAGTATTTAAAACTGGCCCTTCCACGAGTGAAAACCTTCTACTCACTTTGGATTGGCACACTGCTGAATGTCCAGAGTGATCTCTGGCTTCTCTAAACACTTTCCCTCCTCAATTAGTAGCTATGCAGCAAAGTTCCTCTCGGTGGAAATCTTGTTCCTTCACTTACCTCTCCTCTGAAGCTGGGGTGGGAGCTCCTGTCTGGGTTCTGGGCAGCTTTTGTTGATCTCTCACCGGCCTGAGGCACATGGCGTTACTGCAGGTCCACCGCTCACACAGCTGCATCACTTGCAGATCAACCTGGTTGATAAATACAGGAAACTCCATCGACTGTTCAACCTCCTTTCCTATTTTTGCATTCAGGTTTCACTCCACTGGCCTTTACTTCTTTCAATGCCATTATACTAATCTCATATTTGAGATGAGGGCAGCTGGAACCCTAACATACCACTTTGATTCATGGGCTAAGCACCTGGATGGACAGAACGCAGGGCAGCTGCTGGTTGCTGGACCTTTGCTCAACATCCACACGGATCCAGAAGAGGCTGTGACAGCAGTTCACTTTCCTCACTTCCTTTGTCTTGCAGGTACAGTAGGGGAAAAGCTTCACAGCAATATGGGCATTACCAGAAATCCTTAACATAAATAACCACTGCAGCATAAGATGCAGAAGAGCCTTCAGCCCTGTGTGAGGGGGGAAGCACTAGGTATGGGAACAGGCATTACTGTATGAGGGCCCCTTATAGTACCTTGAGGAACAGAGCTTTATAAAAACAAGTGAAGTGAAATCACATGGATATCTTCCTGGTAGATCATGAAGCAAAAAAGAGAAGAAAAAAAGTTAGAAAGAATGAAGCCATGTTTTAGTTGCTGTGGAGCTTCACCTCTTCTCCTGTGCGGTTTTACATAATGGGAGAGATTGTCTGGAGATTGTCTGAATCTCATCACTGCCTTGAAACTGTATGCGTGACTCACAACTTATAAAAAAATTCTGCCTGTGCTCTGGAAACTTGTTGTTGGCAGGCGTGCATCTACCCAGCAGTGCTGTTATAAAGGTTTGTCTCTGCAGAGGCGTTTCCAGCCATCAAAGGCCATTAAAAAGTGATACTACTATGCAGACATCTAGAGCCTGTGACAGTCATTCCTTTACTTGACACCATGTGAGGGCACGGCCACAAATGTTTTGTGACCCAGCTGCAGCCTTCCGATTGGTTGAACTTCATCCCTAGGGTCCCTTCAGACCCACTGCCTTTGGATGCTTGAACCATGCAACTTCCATGTTCCTTTTGCAGGTAAAAGCAGCTCCCGAGTCCACATCGCACATTTTACAAAGGAGGGAATGTGTCTAGAAAAGCCAGACAAAGTAAACCCATTCCATGCTATGTGGAGGAACCCCAGATTCTCTCCCTGTGGAGTTGTCTGCAGGAAGCCATGGTTTAAGCGAAAAATCAAAGTTCATGCTGTGGCACTGCTCTTTCAAAAGCTTCATGTTCCATCTATGACACTCCACCTGTATCTCCTTCCGAATGACCCTTCTCTAAAACAGGTAAATAGCAACCTCCAACTCTGTCAGATGTTCCACATAACCTCAGGTCAGAACTCCCAAAACCCATGGACACATTGAGAATTTTGAGAGAGTATCATGGGAGTTCTCACAAAATGGCTTCCGGAGGTTTCCATTCACAAAATGGCTGCCTTGGTGAATCGCAAAACACTCATTTGCCAGAAGGCTAACAAAAAAGTGGCTTTCCCAAGAATGAAAGGACAAGGTGGGAGTAGGCCTGAACTCCAAAACACAAAACTGCACTTCTGAACTCGTTTTTTCTGCCCTGAAAGCTATCACACATAAGACAAACCATTGAGGGGCAGAGACATGTAACTTTGCAAATAACTGAATAAAAGCAGAAGTAGGGATATGAGGCCTGAATGCCAAATCATCTATTTGCTCCCACAAAGCTTGACAAGATGCCAGTTTTCATAGAGGAAAATTTAGTGTTGCTCAGAAAAACAGCACAATAAACTGAAGCAAAAGACACACAAATGCACAAAAGCCCTATTAAGACATCCACCAGACTGAAACCAAACCAACACACACACCTGTAGCAAAATGTACACTTTCACTCTGCCGCTGCTCCAGAATGTTCCACTACCCCATCTTAACTTTTTCAGTTCTCTGGGCATTTGGACAAGTTTAAGAAAATGCTTGGCCATGGTCCCATGTTTATTTTTAAAGAATGCCTCTGGAAACCATGTGGGTCTCAGAAGTTGAGATGGTGCTGAAAACAGCTGCATCACATTATAACAAACTAGCTTCTCAGTGTAAAATGTGTTTATTTTTAAACAATCTTTAATAAAAAAATAAATTCAGAAAAGGAAGAGAGCTTGGTGAAGGGCAAAATGTTCATGGGCCCTGTGTTAGGAATCCCACAGTTAGTTTATACAAGCCTAAATTACACATGCAATTTTCCATCAGGCTATGCCTTGCAGCTCCACATTTCCTGCTTTTGGACAGCTTGCACTAATCATTTGCATTCAAGAGTTCTACGGCCTGCCTGCCTGCCTGCCTTCCTTCCTTCGATTTATATCCTGCCTTTTTTCTTACAATGAACTCAAAGTGCCTTACTGAATCCTGTGAGGTAGTTGGGCTGAGAGTCTGTGACTGGCCCAAAGTCACCCAGTTGGCTCCATGGCTGAGTGGGGACTAGAACCCAGATTGCCTTAGTCCTGGTCCTGTGATCTTAACCACTACACCAAACTGGATCTCACCTTTGCATACTTGTCTAGATGTAATAATCACAACAACCCTATAAGGCTACCATGGAGAATGTGTGGCTCTCTGGGTGTCCTTGGACTGCAGCGCCCCAGCATGTCCAATGGGAGAGGTGATGTGGATTCCGGTCCCATGGCCATATGTTCCCCATCGCTGCTCAAATGTAATCAGTATGATTATCCCCATATTGCAAATGGTGGAGGCAGTTGAGAATGAGTGCCTAGTGTAGGTTCACGGCAGAAGTGAGATCTGAAACTGGAGCATCCCAGTTGATAGCTCGGTCTCTCCGCTACTATCCAGTGCTATCTCTAATTGTTCAAACATGAACCCACCGGTGCACAAAGACCAATTGCTCCTACTTCAGTTCCCACCAGCGCTGGCATTTAAAAGTGACCCTTCAAGGATCAAAAGACGTTATTTCTTTGGCTGAGCAGGCTGACAGCAAGAGGCCAAATGCCCCATCTGGTTCTCTAGACAACTGTGTTGACATTTACCTTTCCTGCAATAGGCATTGATTCTGCACTTGTCATTCCCCACTCATTATTTTTATGGGCTCTGTAAGTGATGTCATGACTCTCCAGTTTTGCCTCTCGGTGTAACTAACATTTTTGGAGACTGTTTAGAAGTATTTAATTGTACGAGCAAAAGGAAGCATAATTTCCTGCAATGGATCTGCACTGTTCTGCTACGCTACAGTGTCACGTAAAGGTTGTGTTGTTGAAAAGCAGGGAAGGAAATGCTCATTTTTGTGCTGTTCAAAACCCCTCAGTTTTATGACAAAAAACACAAGCAGATTCTGCATATTAGCAGCTTCATGTAAAAAAAAGCTGCTAATTTCTCTCTATGTACACGTTACAATTCTAAGAAATTTTCACCAATGTCAGTGCATCTTCCTTCTGAGTACATATACTTTTTGGAGATCAACCTCTGCTCAGCTCAGTTAGGAATGAGCTTGCTGTGTTCTTCTAGGGTGCTTCCCTTGGGTGAGGGGAAGGGCACACTTGCTCCCTGTGCATCTTGTCTGGAGTTCTTTTGGCAAGGTTGCCATTTTTGTGGAGAGGTCTCTGAATAGAATCACGTTTCTTTCCAGGAAATGAGTGTTTTGTTTATGCCTTGCGTGTGGATTAGCATTTGGGTCGCAAACCCAGCCTATAAAAGACACTTCATGGTGGTTTTCTCCCGTGTCAAATGTGCCCATGAGTTCAGTTAGTTTTCTCTACACAAAGATGCCTAGGAAGTGGTAGGACCACAAGGAATATGAACCTGGGTGATCTTATCATCAAACATTTGGCAATCTTTTCATAGTGGGCTCTGAGGGTTCCAGCATGGGATTCAATGTGGTGGATGAAACATGAAGGCAACCCCTGAACCATCTGGAAAACTTCAGCTGGATGTGGTGGAGGCAGCAAAGTAACCTTTCTGTGCCACCTTCATGAACATGTATTAGGGATGATTATGCACCCTGATACATGCTTAGTCACCCTCACAATGACTCTTTGGCCACATGTGCTAGGAGTTGCCATGTGCATTGCTACCCGGGCATGTTTTCTGAGTGGGAGATCTGTTGAGTGTCACCAGGTTTCTGCCACGTATCAGTTTGCATTCGTTGCTCAGACCCAACCTTTATCTTAGTAGATGCTTGGGCAAGTAACTTGTCTTTGGTGAATAGCCAGGAGGTAGCGACCACTCAACTTTCAAAATGTGCCCATGGGTCTATTGCCAATTTTCTCTACATAAAAAAAGAAAGTGGCAGCTGCAAGGAAACAACATGGACCTCCATTCTAAAGGTTCAGCAACCTCCTGGAATGGCATCTAGGTCTTCAGGTGTTTGGTGTTGCTCACTGTGACCATCTCAGAAGAAGTGACCATTCTTGTCTTTCCCAGGCTGTACAAGACCATGAAGCAACATTCCCTTCGCAGAGAGTGATGAAACCTGCTGGGACTTTCGAGCCTCTGACTCTTGGCTCTTACTTCTTTGTGGAAAATCTAGATAACATTGCAGTTTGTCCCACGGTGAGACACCAAGATGATGCTAAGGGTTGCCGGGAAGAAGCCAAGGCTGTGAGACATGAGCTTAGGAGGCACTAAATTAAGATTCTTTCAGACTTTTGTTCGCCCCCTTGAAATGGTAAACTTGGGGAAAAGTTGGAGGTGATGAAACACCAACCTTCCAAGCTTTTTCTCATTCCCACAGGAATTACCACTTAGATACCTGCATGCAGAAATGGAACAACAGTACCTTGAATTGTATGCTGAGCACATGCAAAACGTCCTGAACCTTATCCTGACAGAAAAGAAGAAGAAGAAGAAAGTCTGGATGACCCATGTGAGACCAGGTTAGCTTTGATGAAGGGAAAACCCCTTGATTGAACCAAACCTGGGTGGCAGAATTGATAATGACACCCCACCTACACCTTCTCCCTGACTTCCTCTTTCCTATTCCTTTTCAGAAGACCTGAATTCTACTAGTTTGCATCCAGAACAAGGTCAGCAAGTATCTATGAGAAGCACTCCCATAACCAGCTCTGTTTCAGACAGATACCTCTGCACTATTGGTTGGTGCCAACCAGTATCTATTTGGGCATAAAAACCAAATAGTCAGTGGAAGTCAGACTGGATTGGTGAAAATATGAGTGTGTGTTTCTGGTTTTGAGAATCTGGAATCTTCTGATAAGACCACCAAAGATTAGCTATGCGTGGAAACCTGTGTCACAGATATTTTCTTCTAAGGCAAGGAAGGACGAGTGTCTCTCCCAGGGAGGAAGATGCTTAGTGGTTCCCTATTCCTATGTCCTGATTCTTGAATAATATAACATATCAGTGCCAACTGGGTTCAGCATTCCCAGTCACCTTCAAAACTGAATTTCCCACAGGGCAGCACCCTGATCCAATGTCACAGGATCAGCTAAGGTGGACACCGCCATGTTCTTCACCCTGACCTCAGCAAAGGAAGGACGGGGCACAGTGATTTCAAAGCAACTGGCAGAGTCCAATTGCAGGGCAAGTGATGTATAATGCCACAAAGTCCTTCAGATAAATATGAATGATGCAGCAGTGGGATTGTCTGGAATTTTTTCCTTGACAAATGGGAACATCCTTGAGAGAACTGTAAACTTTTAGGAGTTTCCAAAATTTATCCCATGGCACCCTGGGCCACAGCAGCACCTATATTTGCAATGTGATTCATATTCCTAAGACTAGAGAACAACCAATTTCCTTATTTATTTTACAAATGTTTGGCTACTATTCATAGCCCTACTAATGGAAAAGGGAGAGAAGTATTCCATTTGAAATGTATTGGATTATTGACTAAGTGCTCATTGAAGTAATGAGTCTACTTGGCTTCACCAGAGACAGCAGCAGTCAAGGATTTCTAAGCCAAGTCAAGGTCCCAAAAGCTTTGCAGCACTGCCAGTGTAGTGGCTAAGAGGATGGCGACAACTGGAGAGTTACCACGTGGAAGGCAACTCAGATGCTGCACTCAGCCCCCTGTGCTTTCGTAGATTTCTCTCCCATTGACCTACCTGCTGCCAGTTATTTGTGACCTCTCTGTAGTAATATGTTCATGGTTTATCACATGGATGTGTTGAATGTTCATGGTTTGCCACATGCCATGCTGGGGAAAAGCTGACACTGTTTGGGGTTTATCTTGTCTTTTCCCTTTTGTGACCTCATAATGCATATTCTCTTTCTTTCTCTTGCAGGTGCAAGGAGCTCTGTACAGATGGGTGAACCGTCTACTGCTGCTCTCCCTGGAAGAAGCAGTGAGTCCCTCTTCATATCCCCAGCTCTTCAATTCCCACAAACATCTGGGAAACAGGAATTGTTGGAAACATCTTAAGTGTCTGCCCTTTACTCATTGCCTTTTCCCCAGCATTTGCTATTTTGCAGCATTATCTATAATGATTTTCTAAAAATGCATTTTTATTTTCTTTTGTCTGACAATGTCTGCCAATCCTGCCAGGGATGCATTTCATTGACCGTCACCGGGAACAGCTGATCTTGAAAACCACCAATGTGGAAGCAGTCCTGGATATGCTGTATGGCTTCATCTTGGATGATGAGCAGTACCAAAAGATCTCCTCAAGTGGAACCAATCCTGAAAAAATGAGGGAACTCTACAAGCTTGTGCCAAGCTGGAATGATTCTTGCAAGGATCAGCTTTACAAGGCTCTGAAGGCCAAGAACAGGTTCCTTATAGATGACCTTGAAGGAAGGTGAAGCCATAAGGAAGACAGAGAGTTGCCATGGACAAGCCAACTCTGCCAACAACTCTGTTGTTCTTTGCTTTGGCCTAGCACACATTTGACTCAAAGCACAGGGCCTAGAAAGCAGCATTTGTATCTGCTCACATTCTTCCATTGCCTTACATGCTGTGTCCACCAGTACAACCGCAGTGCTAAGTGAAAGGCTCAAACATGGCTTAGGATCTGTTTTCAACAAGAAGGCAGAGTTATGGAATACGTGAGTAATAACAAAGCAAAATGCCCCTCACCATGCTTGCTGTCTATAATGGTCTGCAACTTCAGAATTTCCAGGGCAGCTGTAATAGCTCCCAGGTAGGATTCAGCAACAGCATCTCTCTTAAAAAAAACCCTCCAGGATCATCAGTCTTGAAGATGTTTATAGAGATGGTATGGAACATTTTGAACCTGAGAGATAAATCTGGTATTGCCAGTGGGTCTGAGGGTCTCACTTGTATCATGAGGTGGGGGAAAGCACCCAACACTTGAGTTAGTGGGAGATGTGCACATGAACACAACTTCCTTGAGAGGTGCAACCCTCTATGTTTGCTCCAAGAATTATTACAATTAAAATTATCACGGGTATAGAAAGTCGAGTCTTGCTGAATAAGAATCAGCATGGCTTCTGCAAATGTAAATTCTGTCTCATGAAACTTTTGGAAATCTTTGGGAGTTTAGACAAGCATGTGGATAGGAGTGATTTGATAAACACTGTTTACTTGGACTTTCAAAAGACTTTTGACAAAGTCCCTCACTAAAAACTTCTGAGTGTCAGCATCCAGGGTACTGGGGGCTGACTGGCAGACTGAAGAACCAGGACCCGGGGAACTGGGTACAGCAGACAGGTCAGACCACAAGCACAGTCAGAGTCAGGGGTCGCAACACTAGACACAGTCCATTCAAAAAGAAAGCACAGTCAGACAAGCCAGGTGTCAGGAAACCAGGAAGACGAGCCAAAGGGAGCAGATACCTTGAGGGCTGGAGCAAGGCACAAGACTCCACAAACCAGGAGCACTTCAGCAAGTCAAGAAGACCTCCACTACTGAGGCAGCTTCTGGGCAAAAGAGCCAGTTCTTATACAGCTCTTCTCCCAGGGCTCCCAGGTGGAGCTCATGATAGCCCTGGCAGCTGCAGTAGACCGGAGTAGTGATCTTGTAACTATCAGGGCCACTGCGCTCATACTTGACCAGCAGAGGGAGCCCTGAAGCTGCCTCAGGTCCTGACACTGAGCAAGCTTTGCACTCATAGGATAAGATTTGTTTTATAGATAGGCAACAGGCTGAAAAAGAGAAATTGGAAAATAGAAATAAATAGGTAGTTTTCACTATGGAGAGATTTAAACAGCAAAGCCTTCTAAATACACATTCTTTTTTTTTAAAGTTTTCAACTATCCATGAACTTGAGCTAGAGATAAGATAAGCAAGTTTGTTGATGACACAAAAATCTTCAGAGTGATTAAAAGAAAAAGAATATATTCCTCCTCTGGTCTCTTGTCTTTCATTAAAAGCTAATGTCTCTTAATTTTACCCACCCACAAGTACAAAATTAGTAGGCATAAAATAATGTACAAACATTCTTATTAGCTTATTGCCATATGATCAAGAGCTTGACAGTCTAGGTCAGGGGTCGGCAACCTTTAAAACTCAAAGAGCCATTTGGACCTGTTTCCCACAGAAAACACCGGGAGCCACAAAACCGTTTTGACATCTAAAATGAAGATAACACTGCATATATTGTTTTTACCTTTATGCTATATAATATATATATATATATATATATATATATATATATATATGAAATCAATGCATTTATGAAATCAATGCATTTACGCATTTATGAAATCAATGAACTGCTATAGAGAAAACAAATTTTTATTTCTGCATGCAACAAAAACAGTTTGAACTCTGAAAAAAAAGACACTGGGTTGAAGGTTACTGTCAAATAAAATATTCAATGTCTATTTGAGTCCTCCTCGTATTTATGAAATAAAAAGCCAAACTTAAATCATCCACCTGCAGCAAACCAGAAATGCCGTCTGCTTGTGTGCACCCTCATCCTTTTATCACGTGTACTAGAGGGTGCAGTCAGCTGTCAACCTGAATAAAAAAAGGACTAATTGATACTTTCATACAGTAAGTAGTGTTTCTGCAATACAACAAATATAAATAATAGTCTGGTGAAATATTGAACAAACATCCCTCTCCCAATGTAATAATGTTGCTGGAATTTTTATAAGAATCTTCTTAAAACAAGGAAGTAGATCTGTATCTTTATTATAATTTAGCTGCAGCTCTTGTTCAGTCACTAAAAATTGTTATTTTTAATCTTACATTATAAACTAGTAGGACTCCTTTCATGTATTTTGAATAGGAGAACAGCTTCCTGCAGAGTCAAAGTCAGTGCTAAAGGGCTGCATGCATTAAACCGCAAACCCCTTAAGTTTGTCAGCAGTAAAAGCAAATGAATCTACCCATGTTCCATTAAACATTCGGTTTTCTTCAGAAACTTTTCTTCAATTTATCCATGGTTGGCCTACAGGGGGAAAAAGCTCAGTAAATCGGCGCAAGTCGCAGATGGGTGGCTGGGCGAGGGTCGCAGATATAGGTGTGTTTAGTGACTGATTAGCAGATAAATAGTCAAGTGATGGGAATTATGACAGGTCCCAAGCGCAGCTTTTAACATTCAGAGGAAGGAGATTACATTTGGACAAAGATAATCTTTTCAGCAACATTTCGTGTAACATGAGAGCCTGCAGGAAGCTTGTTCCACTCTTTCCCTGCACAATAGCAGAGGAATGTCGCAATTTACTTAACCCGCTAGCGCGGCATTCCTGAGTGGATGCCTCATCATCACCTATTGGTATTTTGTAACTCGGAGCCTCGGTTGCAGATCAGCGGCCGTGCCAGTGCGTGTCGCCAGGGCGTGTTGCAGTTTGGTGGTTGTGACGCATATTTTGAGCGACGGAGCCGCAGCAGAGGGATTCAAGAGCCATGTGCAGCTCTGGAGCCGCGGGTTGCCGACCCCTGGTCCAGAAGGTTAGCGCAGGCCCACAGCCGAAGAAAGCAGGGCATGGACATGGCATGCCCACAAAAACCTTTCATGAGCACTTCCCCCTGAAATGTTGTTGATCAGAAGCATTAAACTGCCACTTCTCCAGCAAATGTCCTACACTAAACCACTTTTAACCTAGTGAATGAAACCATGCCAGTAAAACACTAATAAAATAGTGATTGCAGAAACAAATTATGAATGCCAAGTTATAATGATATAATTAGTATTTTATTCTCCAAACTGAATACCAGTTTCCATAGTCTCTAAATGTTAAGTCTTCCTATAAAATGAGTATATAGACACATTTCTATTATTTGTTCTTTCAGCATCAGCATGGTGCAATAAGCCATCTCCATTTTCAGGGCCATGTGAAAAAACAGTGCAAAAACATTACGGAGCATGACCCTCCAGAGCTGCAGTGCAGGGTGGAGCAGCCAACTCTGCCTGAAGTTATGCCTGGAGATTTCCTAACAGATGCTCTACACATCAAATGGCTAAAATTGCTAGGATTGCTTTTTACAGTCTCCTGGAGATTAAGGCTGATTACTGAATACCCTGATGGGGTGGCAACCATTTCAGAACTGCACACTTTGTACTTTTAAGAACACTTGTGCTTTTCTAAAGCACACACAGACACACACCCCTCTCTCACACAGTGCCATTTCAGATACTTATAGCTATGTAGCTAAGGTGACTTTAGGTCACTCACTCAAGTGGAAACAAGACACTGAACTAGATAACCTTTGGTCTGATACAGCATGGCTTTTATGCTTACTCATAAACACTCTAACTAGGGAGCAAGCCCCATTGAACACTATGAGTCTTAATCCTGAGTAAACTTAGATAGGATTGCTCTGTTGGTCTGGATCCTTAAATGTTTTCTCAACTTCTCAGAGGCTTGCTTACCACCTCTTAGCCTTCAGAATTCAGAAATGAATCCCGGAAAGCAGAGATTGTATAGCAAATATGAGCATTGCTATTGAAGGCAGTGGGGTTCTCATTCTAGAGAGGACACAGTTATATGAACACAGATAACAATGCCTGGTGCTTCCTATGGTTTTTGATCTGCCTCTGTCCTGCAGCAGTTTCAAAAACTATTTGTGATCTCAGTGGAGAGGGAAAAGGCATTCCACCTGACCTGGAAAGGCAGAAACTTTTCCAGCTATCCATCCAGAACATGCAACAATTTCCTGTTATCCATGAGCATCTTTCAGAGGGTCCCTGCTCTCTAGCATCAATCACCCTGGAGATGATAGATGTAATGGATTTAGGAGATGCAGTTGGCACACCTGCAATATAAAAATATAGACACCTGGGCAACTATCCTGATTTTACATTTCCTCCGGGGCCAGAGAGGCAGCTCCTTTTCCAGGTAGGTATGACGCAAACGGCACAATAATTCGCCAGAGAGAGCTGCCTTGTCCCCGAAACGTGCGTCCGGCCACTCGGAACTCGCCCCCGTCCTGAACTTGCACGAGGACGCGACGCTGCTGCGTTTTCCTGCACCGCACCGAGGATGGGAAGGGCTGGCCGGCGGCCGCCCACGCAGGGGGAACTCCTGATGCCAGGATGGGATTTCCTGGGGACGGTCTTCGCGGGGCACACCGTCTCCTGCGCCAGCAGTCTCGGGTTGCCAAGGCGTTTGGTGAGCTGCTGGGAGTCCCCGCCTGAGAGGGAGGAGGCCGGTTCCTTGTTGGAGGGGGGATTTTTCTGGAAGAGGGGGTTGCAGCTAAGGCGCAAGAGGGGTCTGGGGATGGAGGTCACGGTAATGCAAGGACTGAGAGGAATCGCACTCTGCTGTAGGTTTGATCACTGCAAAAAAAAAAAAAAAAAAGTGGAAAGGAGGCATAGATTGATGGCCCCCACCCATGCTTTTCTTCATGTCCTCTACTATTATCTCGAGGAGGAGGAGGAGGAGTTGTGCGGAAGCAAATGCTTATGTATAATATGGTTTTCTTTTTCTTTTCCACACATTCTCTGTCCTGCCTCTCTCCATCCTACTGATCTGTTCACACAGTGCTTTGCAACTGGTAAGGGAAGGGAGGTTTGTGTATGTCTGGACCCATCTTTTTGGGATAGCAGTCACTGGGGTATCTTACTCAGCACTGGCTAGTTTTTGTTTCTTTCCCGTCTGGACTGCATTTTTTCCTCTGTGACTCATTCCTTAAACTGCTTATTATAAGCGCAAGTCAGAATTTGACATGCCTGGGTCAGTAATAAGGTTTTGCAGCATTTAAGGTTGTGAGCAGCATTGGTAATGATTTAGATACTGGTGCGCTGCAGAACTAGTACTTAAAAATGAGCCCAATATATGAATTGGTGTTGTGTCTTAGCTCCAATTTCCACCTATGAACTCTTTGCTTGTCAGCCCACTCAGCCCTTTACAACCAGGTGCTGTCCCATTATCCCTAGACCCCAACCTGCAGACTCATGGCTGGAATGATGGGAGTTGTAGCCCAACAAATCTAGAAGGTACCAGGTTTCAGAAGACTGGCTTAGCTTATCCAAAGATGTTCCAGTTCATTTATTTTTCCAGCCTCCTCCTCCAGATTTGAGCATTTTGATCTTGCCACTGCAGCATGCTTAACCCAATGATCAATTCTACTCCCTCCATCTGTCCACAGATTTTGTTTGGTTCATGTGTACAGTTGCAACCTTGATTTGGTTGGGCCAGGATTAAGCCAAAGAATATATTCATCAGACAGTCATAAGGAGGTTAATGTCAGACCATTCCTCTAGTGTTGTTTTGAGAGCTGGTACATTTAAGAGGTGCAGCCAAAAACATTGCAGCAACTTCACCATGCTTCTTCTTCTAAAAAGCTACTCTTTTGAAATCCTGCTGTTTTCACCCTGCTGTTCCTAGATTCATGAGATTCATGGTTACTCTGTAAAGACAAAAACCTCTGTGCATGCTCAGAGATAGTCTGGTCTTTATCCTTTCATGTGCTCCAAGGTCAAGTTCTGGAATCAGTCACCTTTATTGTATGCCAGGCATCTCTAAAAGAAGAGGTAATGGGCTAAAGAGATATGGTTATAACTACTTCTCAGTTTGCACAGGACAGACACTCTTAATATGCCTGAATAACTTGTATTTATTACTACTTCCCCTTCTCGGATGCACATCATATTAAGTCCTAGTTATTTATCATCCATCTCTGTGCTAGTTTTATTCACTATTCTAATATCTGTGTAAGAATTTTAGTGACTGGAATTGTATATAAACTAGTACTGGTATGCTACAGGTTGTGGGAAACTGTGTGCTTGTGTAGCATAAGGTAGTTTTTTCTTCATGTTGAAACACTTTACCTGAAAACACTGTGTCTAAAACCTTAAAACTCTCCCTCCCTCCCTCCCTCTCTCTCTCACACACACACACAGGCTTTCCGCTCAGCAAATTCTGCTTTGGTCTTCTGGATGGCCCAAGATGACAGAAATGAGTATGTTCCAGAATGTCAAATTTCAGGGGAAGGAAAGATTCTGAGAGGCAAAGTCTGTCCAGGTGAGAAACTGAGCAAAACTATACTGTGATCTAAAATGACCCCTTCCTACCTTTGGCTAGATAAATAATTAACAGGATACATCTGTGCTTTCTGAACTCACACATTTCAAAAGCCATATTCTACAATCTGGAAAACTATATGCTGAGACCAGAGTGAACTATATAAATTATGGGCACAGTCCCAACATGGTTAGTGGGGCAAAGAATAGTCAAAGTCCGAGTTTCAAGATCTTGTGACTTCAGAGGCTGAGCCCCCACCCTGCCCTGCTTGCAGCCACTATGAAAGGAATCATACAAGCTGCCTCTTCCAAGTTCATAATTGGCCTCAAAGAGGAGGAACAGCGACATGCCAGGGGAATGGATAGGTAAAGAGGTTCTCACCAATGGCTTATGCCATATCCAGGTGACAACCTAGCTTCCTTTCTTCCTCTTTTATGCTGCTTCTAGATAGCCAAAAAGGCTGCATAATGAAATTAGAAGCACAAGGTATGGCTGCAGCAAAGATTGCTGTCATTGTATTTCACTATGTATGGGATGTATGTAAGCCTTCAAATTTGGCAGGTACGTGCATCAGGGACAGAGACGCCAGATCGCACCCTTAGTTTTGCATAATTTAATCTGCTCTTGGAGTCAAAAAACAGACATTTTCTGGCAAGAAATGAGGCAAGGCAGATGGAAATATGGAAAAGGACATGGATACAAGCTTCCTTTCAAAATCAGAAGCACTGATTTTGGTGGTTGCCTATTTTTGTACAGAAGATACAAAAACTGCAGATGAGCCCAAATGGTTTTCAGTACCAGCATAATACTGAACAATGGATGTAGTAATATACAGCTGTCTCTGAATATGTGCACGTGCCTTTTATTTTCCATTAAATATTATTTATTAATTGCTATTTAACCTCTCCTCAAAGTGGCACACACGCCCCCTTTCTCCACACCAACCCCCATGAAGTAGGTTAGGCTAAGAGTGATTAGATCAAAGTCATCCAGTGAGCTTTGTGGCTGAGGGGAGATTTGATCCTGGAACTCCCCAGTTACACTCCATCCCCATATCAATTCCACCATGATCATATGGGCCACATCCACAGCAGTTATCTTCTTGATGGTATCCAATTGATTATTGTCAGATGGAAGAACTCTGTGTAAGGCAAACTATGGCCTATGACTGTGCCTGAGAATCTTTTGGCTATAATGACAACTAGTTCTTGATACAGGCAAGAAACCAAATATTTACAGGTAAAATATCCATAATACTGACAGGCCTCCTGTTTTTCTCATAGGTGATGGAAGAATAAAGGAGGAAGTGGTGTTTCTTCCAAATGTGGCAACTTCAGCCCAGGCCCTCCAAAATATCTCCAGGAGCCAAGAGAAGTCACAGATAAACGCCTCACCGCCAAGATGCCGCCGCAAAAGATCTCATGTGCTAGGCTCAGGGGCTTCCAATAATGTACTGGGCATCCTAGAGAGACCTCTGGCCACTGGCTCAGCCCAGCGTGTGCCAGAGAAGCCTTTCCATTGCATTGATTGTGGGAAGAGCTTCTCACAGAGCTCCAACCTGATAGAACACCAGAGAATACACACCGGAGAGCGCCCATTCACCTGCAGCGAGTGTGAGAAGAGCTTCAGTCGCAGCAGCACTCTTGTAGAGCACCAGCGTACACACACGGGTGAAAAGCCATACACATGCACCGAGTGTGGGAGGGGCTTTAGCCGTAGTTCCACTCTCACAGAGCACCTGCGCACTCACACCGGGGAGACGCCCTTCCCATGCCGAGAATGTGGGAAGGCCTTCAGCCGCACTTCCAACCTTGTGAAGCACCTGCGCACCCACTCGGGTGAGAAGCCATACACATGTGCGCTCTGTGGGAAGCGCTTCTCTCTTAGTTCCAACCTCCTCAAGCACGAGCGCACCCACTCGGGGGAGAAGCCCTTCCCGTGCACCCTCTGTGGGAAGTGCTTCAAGAAGAAGACCCACCTAGTGTCCCACCATCGAGTGCACACTGGGGAGCGGCCTTACCGATGTGAAGAATGCGGGAAGTGCTTCTCCCAAAGCTCCATCCTGATTGAGCACCAGAGAATCCATACAGGTGAGAAGCCCTACAAATGTGCACACTGTGGGAAATGCTTCTGTGTAAGCTCAAACCTCATCAAGCACCAGAGAATTCACACAGGTGAGAAACCCTATGCATGCTCTATCTGTGGGAAGGCCTTCCGTTACAAGCCCCAGTTCACCCGTCACCAGAAACAGGTGCACCCAGAAGAAAAGGAAGAGGAATCGGTTACTACTCTCACCTTGGGGCCCTGGACAGAGAGACTCCCTCTCATACAAGTCTCTGAGAAAGCATAGAATTAGGAGACCTGATGGTTTCTTTGTGATTGTACCCCTGCTCACTACAGGCTGCATTAGAACTGTGGCCAGGCCTCTTTGTGGCTGCCATTCAACTAGTCTTAGCCCTTTGAGTGACTCTTCTCTGGTGGACTAATCTACTCTGCCATCAATTCTTTCCCTCTGTATCCTTGGTCTGACAGAGTAATCTGACTTTCTTCTGCTGCACCATCCAGTGGGTTATGTCCTGTTCTTTCCCAAGAAAGAAGAACTCACAGAAGAAAATATAAAATATAATCGGAGCTCTATAATCCATGCATATAGTCTGGGTTGTGTCTGGAGAAGGCTCAGCACTCAAACTAGGGTTTCAGTATTCAGTAGGATGATCTTTGATGCTCTTCCCAAGTCTTTATTGCTGCTGACTTTCTTACCTAGTTCATATGTCCATGGTGTAGGGCTGCAAACAGCCACACACCTAGCTATTTTGAGTAAGAAGGTATTGCTCCCAGGTAACTAGACTAGAATGCATTTTAAATGGAGAAGAGTTGGTTCTTTCTTTCAAGCCTAACCAATATATGACCAGGTGGGCTATAATCTTTGTGAAGTAATCTGTTAATCTGTTTTACTGACCACCTAACCCTTGTCTCTGTGCTCTTCTCTCATTGCATTTACCATCAGTGATGTCAAGGACACTACCAAAATTCCACCAACCATATTTAACATAGCACTTCAAATCAAAATGCTCCAGTTTGCTGGACAAGGAATTACATTTCCCAGGAACAATAGATCTGAATGCTGGGGAAACACAATATCTCCCCCACCCAAACCGAAACACTTCCCAGAGAGAGGATGTCTAGCTCTTTCTCACGAAAAGAGCAATAGCCCCATATCTATATGCTCTGATGTCTTATCCAAAGCATTATGGTGAAGCTGCTCTACTTAGGATGTTTTATTCAGAATATAGAATAAAGATGCGTTGCTGCCAAAAGTGTGTTACATCTTACCTTTATTACTAATCATGCAACTTTCAAATAGCAATTCTAAAGAAGTGGTGTGAATCTGCAGTAGAAAAAGACAAGACTGCAAAAAATTCTCATGCACATATATACCACGATGCATATACTGGGCAAGGAGGTGGTATAGCCACTCTGGTTTTCTTTATTGTTTTCTATAATATCTCTGAAACTGAATGTTTTCATTTCTGTGTATTGGCAGCCCTTGAGAAAAATCATATAAATCATGTATATCTTGATCATGAAAAATAAATGTTTTTCACCCCGTTTGTTCATATCCATCCATTTCCCTAGTATTTTTATACACTTGGAAGAGGGGGCATCCAGAACACAGGTACCATCAGTTAAGTGGGATAATTCTCTACATCAGGGTACATCTGCTGGCAATAAAATGACTTTGAGAAATGAAATATGCCCAGGCAGTTGAAATAAGAATGGATTCCTACCTTGCTGTTTTAATGATGTCAAACGAAACATTTGCTTTCTGGGAGATTTTTTTTTTAAATTCTTGTTATCCTAATCCTCAATGCTTGTTATGCTTGTTGCTTGGCTATGTATTGATCCCTCTTACTAGCTTTTGAGTGCACAGACAAAGCACTGGTAGTGGTACTGAACAAAGCAGGTCACCATATGCAGCATTGTTGGGATGGGTGTGGCATGCTCACACATTAAAATGCACACTTGTACCACATGGTAGAGTGGGCTGGTTTGCTGTTGTGGGACAACTGGCACCACTTCCGTACTGCAACTACACTATAGGTGTCTTTGAGATCCTGACAGATATCACCAAAGTCCTAGAGCCTCCCTTAAACCACAGTGCCTGGCTCACTCTTAATCCTTAATACCAGAAATAGAAAGGAGGATCTTCCAGGCAGGCCCCCGTTTCTGAGCCTGGGATTCTCTCAGCCCACTGCAGAAGGGGTGGAGGGCATCACCATTTCTCCAGCCAGGAGGCAATGGAACCCAACACCTTGCATGCCTCTGAAGGCTCCGGCAGCCAATACAGGCAGCATCTCCTTCAGCCCTCCCACATCCATCTCCAGTGGCTTCCGCTCAGGAAGCATTCTCCCTATACATGCACAGAGGCAATATGTCCTTAAGTCAGGGTCTATTTAAAGCATTTATGAAAGTTTTATAAAGCAGTTTAAAAACAGAAGACAGAAGACAAGAAAATTCAAAATGGAGGAAGATTAAGAAGGCAATAGCTCCTCCAGGTAATGTATGAACTGGCAAGTGGTTTCTCTTGTCAGATCTAATGCAGCCATCATTCCACCAACCAACCAAGCAGCTCTTAGTAGAACACTGTCCTCCCTCTCCCCCACCCCAGACGGCAAGCCACAAACTGTCCCCACAGAAAGGAAGCAGTTCGGGGTGGAGGAAGGGAGCAATGATCCCAGACGGTTGTCTCTTGTTGATGTCACCCTTTTTCAGGTCAGCGTAGCAAAGCAACTATGAGGAATAGAGCCGGCCTTTTAGATATTCTCCGATTTGGCTGTATTTAAATCAATGAGCAAAGGGGAATGTATATATCTAAAGGCACACTCCTGTGCGCATATGTGTGTGTGTGTGTGTGTGTGTGTGTGTGTGTGTGTGTGTGTGAGTGAATGAATGAATGAATGAATGAATGAATGAATGAATGAATGAAAGTCCTGGCTGATGCTGGAAAGTATAGGCAGGAGAAGACAGTGACTTCTGTGTCAGTGGGGCACAGTTTGTAGTCTGAGCTTTAAGGAGCTATCTGTGGTGCTGAACCTATTCTGGAGCTGGAGTTTGGCACTGGATAGCTCTTTTAAAGCTCAAAATAAAATATCCTTGCAGTGGATAAGGAGTCCCACTGATATAGGAGTAACCAGCCACCCTGGCTATAGGACTTTTTCCTATTTAAATACTTATAAGAATGTGCTTTATGTTAATTAATGGAGCCAAACAAACCAGAACTTTCTCTAACCTCACAACATCAAGGAGTCAGTAAAATTGCTGGCAGGAGCATATGAGGCTATTAGAGAATGTGGAGAACGATTAGGTTAAGATACCATTTTGTACTAGAATGCAAGTCTTTTTTTTAGCTGCAGTAAATCAGGGATGAGGAATGTGTAGCTGTCGCAGCGGTTGTTGGATATTGAAACTCCCAGCCTCCCTTCCTCTGCACTGTTCTTGCTAGGACTGGTGGAGCTGCAATGCAACAACATCTGGGAAGCCATATGTTCCTTGCTCCTGCAATAAATAATGGCCTGAAGGAATGACTTTCATCTTGGCTGTATAAAACAACGTCACCTTGCCAGGACTTAGGCTTCCCATCCTTGTCCGGCAAAGGTTTTAACAACTGCATGGCAGGCAAAAGATGAACAGATGCAGCCTTCCTCATTGCTGTTAATGTTGATGCCAGCTGTTCTGTTGCATTTCTGCATGTTCACCAGCTATTAATGGTACACTGGACAGCCAAGAAGAAAAGTGACAATCCTATTCCTTGCCAGATTTATTATTCCCTGGGACCAGCATGGAAAAAGCATGGTTTAAGCCAGGGACCCAAATCTTTCATTTCCTCAGGGCCATTCCTTCTTCTGTGTGTTTCTTTTGGTTACCAAGCAACCACCTCCAGGATTCCTCTTCCTCTCCCCCCCCCCCGATTTTCCTGCATCATGTGAACTTGGGTGAGGATGTGACATCATCACTGGGCTCCCTCTACTACTCTGCAGGCATTACTGATTTACAAGCCGCAGAATTGTTATAACTGTCTAGTGTTTTGCAACGGATCTGTGGTGATTTTTCAAAAGCTCCCCTGGATTTTCTACAATACAACATCATTCCCCGAGATGGAAATGCAGTACTTACAAAATGCAGAGGATGGGAAGAAGTCTGGAGACAAAGGTAAGAATGTTGACCAAATCTTTGTTTGGGAGCAATCCAAAGAGGAAAAAAGAAAGAAACAAGGATATACCACTGGCTTTTCTTTCTTTGCATCTTATATTAGATTGCAGATGAATAGTTATAAATATGAAATAATGCAATCCCACAGAACAAAAAGCATGGAGCAATCTGATGGATTTTATTACAGCCAAGTAATAGAAAAATTCTGGAAGTGCAAACCTGAATAACACAGCATGCCTCAGGGACAAGTGTTCAAAGCAAAATGTACATGCACATATACGTACATGGCAATGTAGCTGCATTTTAGAATATAAGTTATGTGCCCAGGTTGTTGGAAATGTGTGGGATCAAAAAATTCTCAACTTTTTGCGTTTTAGCAGTTGCACTGCTATGTTAGCAAGCTTCCAAGTTAGACAGAATTCTTCAGAAGAGACATTGTTTTGTGCAGCCTGAAAAACTTGATACATTATCAAATTAGTTTGTGCAATGAAATGTATAATTTGAATAATTTTCAATCCTATTTGTCTCCCCCACAACTCAAAAGAAGGGATTTTCTGTAGCTGTAGAATGGGATTATTCTGTAGAGGTTTTTTTTTCTGTAAATAAGTGGCTGTGGGGTTGGCCTTGATTATATTCTGTGGTGCTTAGGAATTATGCAACAATAAAAACATAATATAAAGGGATGTTTTTAAGTAAGAATGACTGGCATCCATCTTGCTGTTTGTCTTTTCAGTTCACATTCCTGGTAATGGATTCAAAGCCCCCAGTGCCTAATTCCACCACATGGGATGTTCATTTTATTAAAGAATTCAAGTGGGGACCTTAATAAAATTGTGCAGTGCATTCCTGGCTCCTAACTACAGTGTCCATTCTGGCTGAAACAGGATACTTATAGCATCCTTTTGGACTTGCAGAGAACATCTCTTTTCTCTTCCATCCTCTTGAAACTCTCCTGCTTTGCTATATGCAGTGGTACCTCAGTTCATGAACTTAATTCGTTCCACGATTCTGGTTGCGAACCAAGTCAAATTTCCCCATAAGGTTCAATGTAAATAAGGTTACTCTGTTCTGAACCATATGTAATTTTTTTAACACAAAATTATTAAACAAAGTACCATACAGTATGAAGAGAGAGAACATTAACCTTGCGTGAGCCGACTTCTGGCATGGAGGACAGGAAGGTCGGTGGGGAGGAGGGTATTGTTTGGAGGGAGTCTGCGACCGCGATCTCGACTAGAGGAAGCCGTGACCACGTGTCAGAGTGGGGAAGATGGCCATGTTCATATGAACACGAACATGGCCATCTTCCTCGCACAAACACGATGGCGGCCATCTTCCCCACACGAACATGAATGCAGCCATCTTCCCCACTCAAACACGCTCTGACACAGGGTTGGGGTGCAGGGAAGATGGCCGTGATTGTGTTCCTCACCTGATGTGGAGTTTGCGAATGGAAGCATAATTTTGCCGAACTTTCTGTTCGTGAACCGAATTGTATGAGAACAGGAACGTTCTTGAACTGAGGTATTACTGTACTACCAAAAAGTTTGGGATTCAGGCTAGCTATCAGGCTTGTTTACATTAATGTTATATTGCATACTTGTTAAGCAGAAAGGGTAACATATGGGAAGCAGAATGTAACCTTCTGGCATACTTCTGTCCTACTGAAATGCTGTCATCCTGGATATTGGTTCTTTCCCTCTGCCTTTCAAATAATATTTTCAGTATCTAAAGGGTCAACTGCCCTCAACCATAGCCTTAATTTTAGTCTGCCCATCAGCCTGTTGGTTAAGATTTTTTAAAAGAAATTATATGCTGCTTTTCCACAGTGGACAGTGCTCAAAACAGCTCAAAGTAACCCTCAATGAACAAAGATCAGCAACACCTTGGAAATAAAATTGTGATAAAACATTTCAGAGAATTCAAATAAGACAAAACCAATGATTCATAAAATGAATATAAAGTCAATATTACAGTGAAAAATCTCAACTTAATATAAGAAGTAAAATCAAAATCAAGAGTCTAAAACAAAAATTTACCCTAGCCTTTGCTGCCAGTGCTAATCTTACAACAATCCAAAGTGCCATCCAGCCAAATAGCTTAAACCTAGTCCAGAAAACCTCCCGCCAGCTAGTGCAGGGCTGCACAGCCTGCATGTGGCTCTTCTCCACTTTTTGTATGGTCCAGCAGCCTATAGCTGCCTCCTGCACTCTTCCCCAGAGCTCAGCTGATCGGAGTTTTGGGGAGAGGCCCCTATCAGCAGTTCCAGAACAGCAATCCCAGTGAACGCATTGAAGGGAGGAGGGCTTTGGCCTTTCTCGGTGACTCCAAAACTGCTAGGATTGCTGCTTTCTTTCTGCTAATGGCAGCCGGAAAGCTATTCTGAGCAGCAACCCCTAAGCAGCCCTTCCCATGTGTGCAAACATATGTGCATGCATGGCCTATGGCCTCCTCAACCAGCACCAGATGCAACTCTCAGCTTGCTCATCTGATGCTCCTTTCCTGGCTGATAATAATTCTTGAAAACAATCAACATTGCTGCACTGTAATCGAAAGGGATATCGTAATTCAACTGCCAAGCTGGCCAGTTCCCTTTATAACAGGGGCACACAACTCTTTCAGCCCCAGCGTGTCTGCTTTTGGGAGTGAGAAAGGCAGTTGCTCTTGGTGCACATTCCCAAGGCCTGCTGATTGGGATTTGGTGGAGGAAGACCTAGAGGGGGCCTTGGAATGTGGGCCAATTCCAGACACTGAGAGACATGCAGATGCTCATCTCAAGGCCAGACTCCCCAGGTGTGCAGGCGGCCCCTGAGAATGACCAAGATATACAGTTAGCAGAAGGTGCCTTGGAACAAGGGAGTTTCTCAGAGATAGATGAGGTGGGTATAGCACTCAGCCCCATAATGTGATATCAGCTCATACTCATAAGGAGTTTACTTTTTTAAAAGTAAATACTAGATTGGATCCAATGAATTGCTCTATGCATGCTCAGAGATTCTTTCTGTCTGGGTGTTTGTGCTTCTGGAAAACTCGTTCATCAATAAAGAACATTTTGCAAGAAAGGTCTGTGCCACCGAATGTACAAAGGGAGGAAACCTAAATCACAACATCTGCTAGAGTGGGGAACTGCACATGGTGCTCACACACACATTTGCAAACTGTTCACAAAAATGCAGGATTCAGCTGCACATCACTCACACAGAGACACCGTTCATATTCACCACAGCAACAACAAATCTTGGCTTTGTAGCCACAGCATATTCCATATTTCATAGCATCAGGAAGGTAAAGTCCTCTCACCAGCTGGCAACAGAGGAAAATACACTCTAGAAACGGGCTTTCTTCTTGCCAGAGAAGTTTCATTCCTAGGGTATCCCAGGGCATTCCCAGAAGCTGGCAGGAAATTTCAAGCATTGCTGCTTTTGTTCCAGAGACATGCTATGGAAGGAACCAGCCTGATTCTTGAGCAATTTTCTCTCCCTCCACCTTTTCCCGGATCAGCACATAATGTTGGGGACTGCCAGACGCAGCTTGGGCAGAGGTGCGCTTTTTGCATCCTCCTCTGCAGACTTAATTTCTATTTTCTTTCAGCAGGTGCTGAGACTGAAAGCTGGATTGAAATAAAAAATATTAAGAAGGAAGCACTAGAAGAAAAAGCAGAAATACAGGATTTGGGAACATCTCTGAGTCCTGAGCAGAGCGGAATAGTGTTGGGGAGCAGGAGCAGTGTAAGGATACAGCTGAGGGACCGAGAAGGTCAGGACAAAAAGGACACTGAGCCACATCAATCAAACAGCCCTCAGAACCTTGATAATTGCAAGATTCAAGTCAAGGTGGAAGAACAGAGGTGTAGAAGCCAGGTGAGAAGGCGTCGGGCAAAGGAGGCTTCCCATGATCCTCCAGGTTTTATCAACCTTTTGGGTATCTTGGAGCCTCCTCCTCCTCTTCCACCCCCTGCCCCACGCAGGCCAGTGGATAAGCCTTACCACTGCACCGAGTGTGGGAAGAGCTTCTCACAGAGCTCTGTACTTATTGAACACCAGAGAATCCACACAGGAGAAAGGCCCTTTGTGTGCAATGTGTGCGGGAAACGCTTCTCCCAAAGCTCCACCCTGATGGGGCACCAAAGAATCCACACAGGCGAAAAACCCTTTGCTTGCCCTGAGTGTGGACGGGGGTTCAGCCGGAGCTCAGCTCTGACAGAACATCAACGCACCCACACTGGGGAGACACCCTTCCCATGCCGGGAGTGTGGGAAGGCCTTCAGCCGCACCTCCAACCTTGTAAAGCACCTGCGCACCCACTCAGGAGAGAAACCATATACCTGCACCCTCTGTGGAAAGCGCTTCTCCCTTAGTTCCAACCTCCTCAAGCACGAGCGCACCCACTCGGGGGAGAAGCCTTTTCCCTGCCCCCTCTGTGGTAAATGCTTCAAGAAGAAGACCCACTTGGTGTCACATAACCGTGTGCACACTGGGGAGAGGCCCTACCGGTGTGAGGAATGCGGCAAGTGCTTCTCTCAGAGCTCCTCCCTGATTGAGCACCAGAGAATCCACACAGGGGAAAAGCCCTACAAATGTCCCCAGTGTGGTCGGGGTTTCTATGTCAATTCCAAACTGGTCAAGCATCAGAGAATTCACACAGGTGAGAAACCCTATGCCTGCTCTGCCTGTGGAAAAACCTTCCGATACAAGCAGCAGTTCCCTCGTCATGTGGCCCACGTCCATCCTGGAGAAGACCAAGTTTCTGTGCTTACCTTGGGTACCAGTGTTAATATGCTTCTGTCTTAGAGCCTTCAGTAGCCCTGACCTTTGTGTTTCAGGTGCCCTAGAGGCTGATTCCACTGAGAGGCATACATGCTGCCAAATTTAGTAGTCCATAAAGTACTCAGCGTAGCATCTCATTGCTGGGACTTTTCAAAGAGACTTCTATTAATATAATCACAATTAAAATGAAGTGGCCTGGCTTGTGATGCTAGTTTCATCCTTACATAGAGGAATTTGTTTATTAGCTTACATAGTATAGCACTATGTAAGCCCACATAGGAGGGCTCATTTTTTAGCTTACATAGTATAGCACTGGGAAAGAGACTGTGCAAACAGTGACTCCTTTGCTTTGGAGGGTTTCATATGTACAGTAGGACCGAGGGAGCCATGAACATGAAATCTTGTTTCAGAAGGAAAAGATTGACCATTACAAGGATTCTATTATTGTGTTTACAGTATCTTATGAAGGGTATGACATTCAGAAATATTCACTATAGATACTGTGACTTTTTAAAGAGTGTTTATACTATCACTCTGCAGCCCACCACTACAGTTCACCTCCCCATCATATTTTACAGAAGGGCAAAAGAATTTTATGAAGACCTTGTTTTGTGTGTTTTTTCCCTCGGTTTGCAATATTGCTGGAGAAGGCACTGTCCTTCTTTCTTTAATTTGAAGAAATGATGGAATTATATTCTGAATTTCTTTGTACTAGAATATTTACAGTATTATCTAGGATGCAGCCAATTTGGGGTGAGGGGTATTGCAAATACTGCAGAATGTATTCAGGAAATTCATTTATGGCAACAGCTGGAGAAACACAAAACAGCTCCTACCTAAAACTCCACCAAGTGCAGTCATGGCCCCTATATTTGTCATTTAAAGTAATCCCTACATATTCAGAATGTGAGGCCTTATGGGCATCTACCTTGTTTGAGAGCAAAGGCATTCTGATTATGGCTGAGACTTTTAGAGTAATCACATTAACTTTCTAGGAGTCCATCTTAGTAAGTAGACATTCTTCTAGAAGCTGCTAGTAGCTCTCTCGCTGTCCGAAACTCTGTAGTATTTCTCAGTTGGTCTACTGAAAACTTGTGTCTGATCCATTCTAAGCTTTATGTTCCAGGCATTCTTCTAAGAATGTTCAGTATATTGAAAACCATGATGTGCAACAGGAACAATTCTAACATTGATGTCTTCTCTTTGATGCTTCTTTGAGAGACATTTCATGATGTATCCAACTGTCTGGGTAGCAGCCTCCTGGCAGACATCTATGGTAGACTGGTAAGACCACCTTTGAGCTGTGTTAAGGAAACTGGGTGCAATCCAGCCAAGGTCAATCATATCAAGCCCTGCTGAATTCAACAAGGTTAGATCAGTGATCGGGAAACTTATCACTGGTGGGCCATCACAATAATAAAGCCCACAGGGGTTCTCCATTTGGCCTGGCAGTTTCTTCTCATTGCTAATCAGGCAGGTATAAATACATTCCCTTGCTTTGGATTGAAAAAGTCTCCTTTCTGCAAGATGAGTTGGTGAAAAGCCTTTTCTCTGATCTGCTGCATATAGGGCAGAGAAGTATGAGGCCTGCGAAGGAAGTGTTTTGCTAACTTCTGAACAGATGTTATACACATGCTATTTGAAAGTGCTGCTGGGTGATTCAGCCATACAACCTTCTGAGCCTGGTCTTATAGTGACTTGTTCTTCTTACTTCTGTGTGAACGTGTAGTGCTTGAATGTTTGGGATGCTATTGAAAGTGCTGCAGAGTGATTCCTTTCTGGTCACGTTAGATATGCAGAGGCTTATCCTATGTACTCCAGATTAGACATGCTTCTCACACTACTACATCTTACCACAAATAGACCATGAAATTTGGAGGAGTAGATTTTTCAGCTTTTGCCCTCTTCTGCCTGTGGCCAGGAATGTGGCCCCCAAGACCGTTTCCAAATGGCACCTAGTCCACTGGTCAAAAAGTGTCTCCCCAACACTGAGTTAAACAAATTCTCCCACTAAAATCACTGACCCATTTTAAGTTATTAACTCTGATCAGATCATGGCCTTGCTTAATAAAACTGAGAATTCTTCCTCTTACTGTTTCCTCCCACCTTTGTCAAAAGAACGACCTTGTGCAAGAAGTCACATCTGCAATCTTCATTATTTGCATCATTCTTCGGTGTTGAGAATGTTACTTCTTCCAGCAGTGTATTTCCTTTAATCACTTTCAGGTATGCCAGTGAATCCCATTTTTATTTGGAGCTTAGTTATTTTTACTAGACTGGCCAGCTTCAGATAGACTGAAGCAGCTTGCAGTGAGGCCACCACAGGGTGGTCATTAATGTTCTACTGTATCTTAGACAAGCAATGAGATGAGCCCTAGTTTGAAGAAACATCCAGAGACACATGAACTGCAGGGCTGGCACACTCCCATTGCAGCTGAAGTGGAAGAAAGAATAGCACAGGAATGCGGAACCACAGGCCGAAAGGCCAAATCTAGTCTTCCAGATGCCTGCACGTCCTTCCCCACAACCACAGGTCATTTGGTGGTTTCCTGGCTTTTGTGCAGTTTCTCCTCCATTCTACAAGGCTGAAATGCCTCTCCTAAGGCATAGTTCATGGCAGTGAGAGGTGTTGGCAGAAATATGGTGGTATTTTTGGTTTTTGCCTCTGTCTACCTTTGGAATTTGCCTCCCCCCCCACCCCTGGAACTTCTTCCGAACAGAACATGATCCTTGGGCTGAAAGAGTTTCTTCTTCCCTGCAAGAACATGGAAAATGTCCCTTGTAAATGATGAGGCTTCCAAAATGTTCATGAACTATGTCAATGCCCACACAATGAACTAGCACATTCTGTTCTGCTTTGTGTATAATTGGAAGATATTTTGCCATCCCAAGCGGCTGCACTGAAGTACCCAGATAGATTTTTTAGGCATCTTACGCTGTGCACAGATTCTGTGACAATGCAGGGCATTGTTTTTTACTTCATTGCCACCCAATACCCTGCTAAGTTGAGTCATTCCTGCACATAACACACAAGCATGTTTATTTTCACAATCAAATGTTGGGGTAACACAGACGCATCCCCACACACTCTCAATCTTGTGTTACTTACATGTACAGGTTCTGCTTGTGGCAACAACTGTGCGGGTATAGATTCAATCTCTTACATTCCCATGGGCACTGAAGTTATGTTGAAAAAAATAGACGTCTCTTCTAGTTTCAGGGCCTTAACCAGGGCATTCTACTGCTTCATAAAGATGGCGCTGTCCAGTCAGTGTTGAGGGATTGTGCCTGTTCACTTCCTAACATTTCTGTTCAAATACCAAAAAATATGGGAGACTAGGTAACTGTTACTGCCAACAACCAGTCAAAGCAATAAAAAGGCTGCTTAGCTTACCCAAAAGCCTATGAATTACACCCACAATGATCAGAAGTCCCCAACTGCAGAGGCAGGAGGAGGAACAGCAGAGGCAATCTTGGCCTCCCTATCCCTTTTCACCAGATTTCCCCTCCCCCCCACAAAAAAAAATCTAGTGATGGCACTTCAGAAGAGGATGGTCAAGGAGGTCTCAGAATAGCTTCTGTCCTGACCTTTCTGATTTCTACCCCATATTTCTCACAGAAATGTCTCCATTTCCCTCTGCCTACTGTCACTTTTTCACTTCAGCAAGGATCTTTTCCCAGCCGGCTTCAAAGGGACAGGGGAGGGAAGGCCAAATCTTTGATTCCCCTGCTCTTATCTCAGAGAAGGAAGTCCCCAGTATTTTCTGACCTCTCAAACAATGTCTGTGGGCCATAGCATTGCACCCTAGAGCTAATAAAAAGACAATACTTACAACCAATTTGAAGGAGATTGGCACAACTTGATATAACAGCACTTTGCCAAAAACTGATGGAAGTTAAAAACATTAGCCTCCAAAAAAACCCCCCTCTAAGGTGTATGCTTAATTCCACAGATTCACATCTTTTTTTTACTTCTGCTGGGTTTGTTAATAAGGAGCAATAGAATCACCACTTTCATATATGAGTTTATCAAGCAAGTTACTTAGTGCTATCCTTGGAAGAAGAGTGAGTAAAAGACTGTGTAGAGTATCTGCCCCTGTGTGTTTTACTAGTTTTGTACTAACTGTGTTTCAGATTAACTGTGATTGTTTTCTTTCCTCCATTTTTCTTAATAATGACTCATTAAAATCATTATTTCACACAACTTAAAAGCTTTGGCTTTGTCTGCAGTCTGCTGAGCTTGTTCTAGAAATACATTTTAAAACTCCCCTTTCTTCTAATGCACATGGGGAAGTTTTCCTCTAAACTGAAGATTCTGAAACAGTGGCCTTGAAGTGTATTTAGAGGCCATAGAGTAGGATCTCCAAATTGTAGGTTGTACAGATTAATATTTCAGGACCACCAGTACAATTCTACTTAAAAACAAGCTTATTTTCAGGTAAGTATATATAGGATTGCTGTATTAGTCTCCTAGGACTAATAGGAGACTAATTTATATTTAAGTACGTATAAAATGTTATCTGGATTTAATCAGTTCTTATTGGTTGCAACTCTGCAGGTAAACCCCTATCTGTATTAGGTACTACTGGATCATGTAGACACTCATTTCTCTGAGTTAACTACATCCCACCTTTCACTTTTTTAAATTAGCAAATAAATCCACTGAATTTATCACTCCTGTGGAGCTACTCAACAGAATTACCCACCTTCAGAGAAAGCTGTCTGGTGCATCTCCAAATAAGTCACTGTGTTGTAGTCATCTCCTTTCAGTTTTATGTTCAGGGTGAGAACTAAGATAATTGGCATACATGGATTGCTTATCCTTAGAGAAGCTTATGTGGCAGCATCACTTGAATTAGGCACTGCTCCAAATTTGCCTCCTTCGACAGAGCTCACTGCTGTGTGTTTACTTGGGCAATTGTTCTGGAGTTCAGTGGGCACTGCTCTTAAAAACCTATCCATCAGACTCACCCAATTACACAGGGCATGAAGATGTCTTCTGCACAGACTAAGCTTAATTTTATTTAAAGTCTTATACGTATAACCACTTTTCAGCCAAAAGTGGCTTCCAGCACGCGAGCAAGAACTAAGCGTTCCTCCAATTTTATCTCACATTATGGGCAGAAAATGTATGTTTGGTAGCAACCACCACATTATTCAACGATTGCCGTAGGAGGCACCAGGCGGCCGCGTGAACTCATGCCGATTAAAAATAGTCCTAAAGTTTCCGCCAAACATTAAGCAAGGCCTATCACAATTTCAATCCATAACGACGCCTAGCAACGTCACTCTCGGCCACAATCTCGCGGGCCTCAAAACATGTGATCTAAGGCGGAAGTGGCGTCACACTCGGGCGCCTTCTCTCATCTCTATGGTAATCCACTGTTGGGAGTAACTATTTCCGGTTTGGGCCTGGAAAGCTGGGAGAGCCGTTGGTCGGTGTTTGTGCGCGAGTTCTCGCGGTGGCGGTTGTCATGGCAGCGGCTGCGGGGCCTGGAGGAGGCGAAACGGCTTCCGCTGCCGATGAAGGCGGCGGGGGAGGCGACAGGAGGAGCCCCCCCGGCTCGGACCCAAGGCGCCTGGGGCCGGGGGGGCGAGAGGAAGACGAGGCGCCGCGGCAAGGCAGCGCGGGGGGAGCGGCCGGCCAAAGTCACCAGCCCTCGTCGCCGCCCGCCCGCGAGGCCGAGGTCACCGTGGAGATCGGAGAAACCTACCTGTGTCGGCGCGGGGACGGGACATGGCGTAAGTGCGTTTCCAAAGCAAATAATCTCTTCCTCCTCCGTTACGGCCTATGATGCCATAGCAACGGGACCCCCAACTCATTCCTGTGTCCCTGAGACCTCCAGTGGCTCATTCCTAGGTTGAGCTTCCATCCTGCAGCATGCCTCATCCATCGTTTGTTGAACGCATTCATACTCTGGGGGACTTATGTTTGCATATTTTAGTTTTCCAAGGTGGTTTGGAATACAGAGATGCACATAGCATCGTAGAACTCAGTTAAGTCCAAGCCATCATAAAACAAAATCATTAATCAGCAAGGTGACTGAATCATAAGCCACAAAACTACATATTGCTAAAACATCTCACGTCGCTACACTATATCTCTATGTGTGCAGCACGGGAACCTATTAGGAAGATGAACTTTTAATTTAGGGCCAGTAGTTGAAGACCCTGTTCTGATGGCCATTTACCTTGCCTCAGAAGAAGGTATCGAAACCTCAAGTCATGACCAAATGCTGAAATTCTGTTCACACTTACATGTCATTAAACCAGTGAATGCAGGATATGCTTCCAAGTAAGCATGCATAGGTTCAGCTTATGTGCATTGCAGTTCCTCCTGTGTTGGACCACCCTTAAAGTGCCCTTATGGATAATTAGAACTGTGGAGTTATGTAGAGATTTCTCTGTGTATTCCTTCAGTGTAGTGCCCCAAATTCATACACCAAATGCTCTTTTCTTTTGTAGTGCCCATCCGTAGTGCCCATCCTGTCATTTTCCTTTGGGTTTTCTACTTCTAGGACTGGACTTAGTACAGTAAGAATGGGCTAAGAGGCAACAGAAAAGTCTTCCTTGTGCCTGTTACCTTTTAAAAATCTCAATATCTCAGGTAGTCCCTTTTGTGGAAAATACTCATTTTAGGTTACTTGAGTAAGCTTTCATCCTGCAAGAGCAATGCACCCTTGGTTATCTCCGTCCTTCCATTCTTTCAGCTTGATAATGAACAGTTTGGCCAAAATGCTTCATGGTGTAGTAATGCCTTACACTTCTTAGTCTCTTCTTGTTGAGGTGGCTGTTAACTAGACAATTTCATTCCTTCCAGATTCTGCAGAGGTGATCCAGTCTCGAATCAATGAGCAGGAGGCCAGAGAAGAGTTTTACGTGCACTATGTTGGATGTGAGCATCTTTTGAAGAGTGTCTGTCTGTTCTATTGGGGATAAGCAGGTTTTTTTCTTAACTCATTCCAAGGGCCTTTTACACACATTGCAAAACTTCTCAAGTGTTATTTATTTCTGTACCGCCTCACAGCCAAAGCTCTCTGGGTGGTTATTTTTCTGGCAGAAAGTATGGGCATAACAGCTTATATTGAAATCTGTTGGGTTTTCTTCCTGGCAACTTCATTTGGTGATAATATTCTAAAAGGCATATTTGCTTATAGGTTTGTGGTGATTTCCTAAAGATTTCTGTGTTTCTGTCTCAGTCCCAAGAAAGTAGTTGGGTTTCAAATAGGAGGAAGCCTGGTAGTGTTGTCTTGGCACAATTTGGTTAGAAGCTGGTCTTCTGTATTCTGTACCCTGCCTTGTAAGAGGAAAGGACATGTAAACAATAGGAAAGTGGGGGAAAAGATGGACGTTTCCAAGTTCATGTTTAGGGTGATGAAGGAAAGCAGATCAGCAAAATTCCTGGGAAGCATTCCTTTTCTCAACTTATTGTAGCTAGTGTCAAATGCTATATTCCTGGAAGTGATCTCTTTAATTGGATATACACCTGATGACTTTTGGAAATATTCTCTCATCAATAGGAGGAGAAGTTAGAAAAGAGGTGCGTGGTCTTCAGACCTGTGAGAGCAGTGTAGCTTTTCGGTAGAATCTGAAGGCCCAGCCACTGAAGCCAAATGCAAAGCAGTGACAGGACGGCAGAAGGGGTTGGGGCATAGAGTACCTCTGAGCACAAACTTCATACAAGAATTTTATATTTATACCAGAACTGGAGTTTGCAAACAAATGCTTTCTCATACACATCTGTTTTGCTCCTCTTGCCTAAGCATAAGCTTTCTTGATTTTAGAAGCCCAATTTAGAGCCAGTGTGGTGTAGTGGTTAAGAGCATGGGACGGGGACTCAAGACGATCTGGGTTCTAGTCCCCGCTCAGCCATGGAGCCAACTGGGTGACTTTGGGCCAGTCACAGACTCTCAGCCCAACCTACCTCACAGGGTTGTTGTTGTGGGAATAAGATGGAGGAGGAGATGTAAGCTGCCTTGAGCCCTTTGTAGGAAAAAGGCAGGATATAAATCGAAAAATAAATAAATTTAGAAGGCGAGAAAGGGCCTTTAGTTTTTTCTTTATTAAACTACTGATAGTCAGACATTCTTGCTGATCTATTGCAGATCTGCCAGAGATTTATCATAAGATTCTGAGCTCCCAGTAGATCCCAGTTTTTCTTCTTCCTGACTCTGGTTCAGAATGGAGGAAGTGGGATGCAGTTTTATTAGCTTGCTTGAAGCTTCATCTAAAGTGTATTTGGAGTTGTAGTTTATAGTTTGCAAACTACAAACTATTGGGGAGGGGGGTGGATTTCTGTACCTGATGTACATCTGCTTACTCTCCTGTGGTAATGACAGTCAACCGACGTCTGGATGAGTGGGTGGATAAGAATCGCTTGGCCCTCACCAAGACAGTCAAAGATGCAGTGCAGAAGAACACTGATCAATACATGAATGAGCTGTCTGAACAGCCGGAGCGCAAGATCACACGCAACCAGAAGCGCAAACATGATGAAATCAACCATGTGCAAAAGGTAATGCCGCTAGAGGGGTGTCTGGGGAGCTTTGAATTGTGCTATCTTACAGACTGTTGGTTCCAGATCTGAAAAAAATCCAAGCTATTTTGAACCTCACAGTCTTACTAGTGGGTGGAATTCTTCAGGGAGCCCTTTCTACCACTCACTATGATGGTTTCTTCCATTGCAGACGTACGCTGAGATGGATCCCACCACAGCAGCATTGGAGAAGGAACATGAAGCAGTGAGTGTTCACCAGCACCTAGTCTGCCTTCCTGTCTATATCAGGCAGAAAAAGAAGCATGCGTGTGTTCAGAGATCCCAGCTCTCTTTCTCTCTTCTCAGATTACCAAGGTGAAATATGTGGACAAGATCCATATTGGAAACTATGAGATTGATGCTTGGTATTTCTCGCCATTCCCAGAGGACTATGGGAAACAGCCCAAGTTGTGGATCTGCGAGTACTGCCTCAAATATATGAAGTTTGAGAAGACCTACCGCTACCACCTTGTACGAAAGAGGGAGAACATTTGTCAGGGGCAGGGGGAATGGTGAATGGGGAGCCAGAAGTAAAGTGATATGAGAAAAGCTCCGGGAGAGCTGCATTTGGGGTTGATCTGTTTCAGCAGTTCTAGCACTTGGGACAGCCTAAAGAGATTTGACTGTGTTTGCATATTCCCATTTTTCTAGTACTAGTAGCTATTTATTTTCTGAGCCAGCAACTAGGTAAGCTAAACAAACAAGAGTAACATAAATTGAAGAGAGGAGGATATTGTCCTAATCAAAGCCAAGGCAGAAAAGCTAATGAAACTGTCAAACAACTCAGCAGTTGCAGTTCTCAGAAAAATGCAGGCACCTGACATTTTTGGGTAATCTGGCTCTTTCTCTTGTTCAGGGACAATGTCAGTGGCGGCAACCACCAGGGAAGGAGATCTACCGCAAGAACAACATCTCAGTGTATGAAGTTGATGGTAAAGATCACAAGGTGGGTGCCTACTTCAGCTCCCATGTTTTCATTTGTGGTATTTTTGTTTTATGTGAGCATGTGACAAGTTGCTACACTGGGAACTTAGATGCCTTCTAAACTGTCTTGTAGTTAAACTTCAGAGCCATGGTTCCTCCATTATGAAGGTGATCTTCCTGCAGGACCATAAGTAGTCTTCTCACATTGCTAGAGCACTTCTACTTTCTCCTTATGATTTATGCTGTTTAATTTGTTGACTTAGAAAAGCTTACAGGTTGCAAGAATTGCTTTCAGAAAAGGTCCCCTGTCCTTTGCTGATCAGCATGATGAGCATTGGTGTAGGCTGAGGGCAGGAAGTACCCAGCTCAAAATCTTGGTGGGCCAGCAGCCATTGACTTGCAGCTTCTTGGTTAATATTATTACACTGCATTTATCTCCTGCCTTTTTCCTTCTTGTGAGGAACTCAAGGCGGCTTATATCATTGTCCTCTACTCCATTTACCCACAAGAACAATCCTGCTAAGTAAGTTAGTCAAAGAGTGAGTGACTGGCCCAGAGTTACCCAGTGAACTTTGGGGCTGAATGGGGACTAGAAGCTGGATCTCCCAGGTGCCCAGCCACCACACTGGCCCTTGATGTAGGAACAGCTGTATCCAAGGTGGCCAATCACTTGGCATGCAGGACCAATCACCGTCTAGATCAGTGGTGGCAAACCTCTGGCACGCGTGCCGCAGTGGGCATGCAGAGCCCTCTCTGTCGGCACACGAGCCAAGTCGCCCCAGCATTGCCCCAGCAGCCGAGCATCGGATAAAAGCACACATAGGGCCATGTGCATGCTCAGAAAGGAGTGGCGGCACCAGGTGATGATGGCACAAGCCGCAGCTCATAAGCTGCAACTTGTCCAAGCTTTCGCATGACTGCTCAGAGCGCTGCCAAGTGCACTGTACATTTGCTTGGACTGGCTGTGAGGTGTTTTTTCCTAAACTAAAACCTCAGTTTTCAGGTTTTATTGTGTTTAGAATGGGCAGAAACGATGAGCTGTGCAGAAAAAGCTACTCAAGGCCTTTTCAAAATTGCATTATTTTCAATGGAACTTTAGCCCTGTATTAGGGTTAGGGGTGTGCACCAGGGTAGGATTGGGGTTGGAAAAATGAGGTCTCCTGGCATGATTTTGATGGTTGGAATGTGTTTAGAATCGGCAGAAATTAGGAGCAGTGTAGAAAAATCTACTCCAGGAAGGCTTTTTCAAGATTGCGCTCTTTTCAATGGAACTGTTGGCCTGTATTAGGGTTAGGGGTGTGCACCAGGGTAGGGTTAGGGTTAGAAAAACGAAGTGTCCTGGCCTGATTTTGATGGTTGGAATGTGTTTAGAATGGGCAGAAATGATGAGATCTGCAGAAAAAGCTACTCAAGGACGGCTTTTTCAAAATCACCCTCTGTCGGCACACGAGCCAAGTCGCCCCAGCAGCCAAGCATCAGGTAACAGCGCACATAGGGGCCATGCACATGCTTGGAAAGAGTAGGGGCACCAGGCGATGACATCACAAGCCGTGACTTATTAGCCACAACTCATCTGAGCTTTCGCATGACCAGTCAGTCCGCTGCCAAGGATATATATATATTTGCTTGGACTGGCTGTGGGTTGTTTTTTCTAAACTAAAACCGCAGTTTTCAGGTTTTATCGTAGTGTTGGCCCTTTGAGATAAGTAAGAGGGTTTTGGGTTGCAGTTTGGGCACTCAGTCTCTAAAAGGTTCCCCACTGCTGATCTAGGTTATGGATAAGAATCTGGAGCAGCATACAAGGGTGCTCAGCAGAATTCTAATAGACCAGATCATTGATGAGACAAGATGTGCCAGTAGTTTGAGAAGCTGTGCAATGGGAGTTCTGGTATCCAATAATTATTAACCTGGAATGTTCCAGAAGATTGACTTTGATATGCAGATGGATTGCTGAAAGGTCCTTGGCCTGAAAATACAACAGAGCTTGAAAGGTTCCAAGAGTGGACTTTTTGCAAAACTGACATTGGCGATATATATCTCTTCATGGCTTTTTGAATGTGACTGACTGAACAAGCTTAAGAGCACCACTCTACCATTCAGTGTGATTCAGAACAATGTTTGTTGGTTAGGTTTTGTTTTTGTTTTGTGGTCCTGGGGCTGTACTCTCTGAGGAACCTCATCTTGTTCTTTTTCTGGGTGGGAAAACAAGTCTACACTAATCTTGTTCTTTTGTTGCTGCATTCCATCCTTTGCTAGTCCGTTGGATTACTGACACTGGTTCTCTCCCTCAGATTTATTGCCAGAATTTGTGTCTTTTGGCCAAACTGTTCCTGGACCACAAGACCCTCTACTTTGATGTGGAACCCTTTGTCTTCTACATCCTCACAGAGGTGGACAGGCAAGGGGCTCACATTGTTGGCTACTTTTCCAAGGTACAGAGCTGATTTAGGCTGTGTGTTTGAGTCAGGGAGGGGGAAGTTTGTGTTCTGGATAAGGGGTGTGAGAAAGAGGATAAGTATTGAAAGTGGTACTACTTTGTGCTTAAAATAAATTAATCCTGCACCAAGGAAAACTGAAAAGCAGAAAATTAAAATTAAAAACATGCTTCTGCTGAGGAGTGCAAAAGGAAAGAATTGGGCATGGCCCAAGTCTTGTGTACTGGAAATTCTCTAACTTGTCACTAGGTATGACCCATATGCTTTCATGTTTACAGCCAAAAGGACTAAAAACTTGATCTGTTGCATTCATATATTTTTTGCCAAAGTGCTTGAGGTGGTACACAAATGTAATATAACATTTTGCAACTTAATAGACACAGTACCACAGTGATAATGGACAGGCAGCAAATTCCAGTACTATGGTCATGGCGGGAGACAGTTCTAGGAGGAGAGGAGCCAAGGGGTGGCCCCAGGTGTGTCAGAAGGAGGAGCTTCTCTGTTGTCATCTTCTATGGTTGTTTGTTCCTGCTGGATCCTTTGCCTGCTCCTTTCTGCATTTGATATTCTTGGTTTTGGTTTTGTTCCCCAGGAGAAGGAGTCACCAGATGGCAACAATGTGGCTTGCATCCTCACCTTGCCCCCATACCAGAGGCGGGGTTATGGGAAGTTCCTTATTGCTTTTAGTAAGTTTGCTTCCTGCAGACGTATGTGACAGGCACTAAAAATGCTATGAAGCAGATTGGTAGCCTATTAACTTCTTTCAGTTCCTGGAGGGAGATAGTCTTCCCCTGACTCCACCTAGAAGAAAGTGCTAGAAATGCTTCAGTATTCCATTTGATTTAATGTGAAATTAAATATTCTGAATGTCAAATAATGTGATGCAGAATTTCCACCCATAAAAATGTCATAACTTAGATATTCTTTGATACTTCCTATTCAATTAAGATAAAGGGCTTTACAAATGATGAATATATGTTGTGGTACTGTGGTTATCACTCCCGTATTTCAGAGCTGCAACTCAAATTATAAAATGGTCATCATAAGAGCATGTACCTTCAAATGTGCTTTGTTCTACAGGAGACTTTATCAGGACTAAACCATATCATGAAAAGGCTCCCACTAGCTTATAGCTCTTGAGATACCTGGATTTTGAGCTGTGACTGCTTCTTTGACCTTAACCCTAAACTTCTTCTTCTGCAGGCTATGAGCTGTCCAAGCTGGAAAGCACAGTGGGTTCCCCAGAGAAGCCCCTCTCAGACCTAGGCAAACTGAGCTACCGTAGCTACTGGTCATGGGTGCTGCTGGAGATTCTCCGGGATTTCCGTGGCACTCTCTCCATCAAAGATCTCAGGTGAGAGAGAATCTGAGTATTAGTGAGACGTACCTGCTAATGCACAGCTTCAGTGTTGACAGAGGGGCGCACACATGAGTGAAATTGTACTATGAGCAGTCTTGAGTGAGCATAATGGGGCTGTTCAATTAAGCTGCATGTTCTTAACCTTGCTTATTCTTGCAGACCTCCACCTGCTACTTTTTCTTCTCCTTTTTTCCCCTGTGCACAGCCAGATGACAAGCATCACACAGAATGACATCATCAGTACACTGCAGTCTCTGAACATGGTCAAATACTGGAAGGGGCAGCATGTCATCTGCGTCACCCCGAAGCTAGTTGAGGAGCACCTCAAAAGCGCCCAATATAAGAAGCCTCCCATCACAGGTACTGTGGGAAGGGGGATTTTATTTTATTTTTTTTAATATATATATATATATATATATATATATATTAAAAAAAAAATTTCTAGGCCGCCCCATTCACCGAAGCCTTGGGGTGGCTTACAGATAAATAAAATACATAAATTAACAATATAAAACACATATAACAGTATAAAATAAGTCGCCCTGGTTATGAGGAAGAAGAGATCTTTAGGATGTTGCCGTTGTTGTGATTGCTTTTTCCTAAAAACCTCTGGTTACAAATCAAAATTCAGCCCACATGCACAATTCCCTGTTGTCTTGTTACCTTGTTGTTGCTGTTGCATTACTAGGATTGCCAGGTGGTCACAGTGCAAAAAGAATCTGCAACAACTGCCAGAATTCTTTTAGTGATTTTGTGGAAGTCTTCCTTGGTCTGTGCTCATGCATATAGACCCTGCCTTCTAAACCTCTGCCCACTTCCTTCCTGCCAGTGTTGCACAGTTGTACTTCGGTTCCTTCTTTTTTCAGTTCCACTTCTCCACAACTAATTATTACCTCTTGTTCCTGCTTTTTAGCCAGTCCCAACTTGCATTGTCCTGTTCCTTTTACCTGGTCTCTTGACCACTCCTCTCCTAACATTCCTTTTTCTTGAGCATATGGCCCTCCTGATCTTCAGCAAAGTGAAGTATTTCAGAACCACCTTTTTTGTTTGCTCAGACCCCTGTCTCTACTCACCTACTCTTTTCCTTAAGCTTCATTCTCCTATTCTTCCTTCAGTTCTCTTTCTGGGTTCCTCATGTACCCTCCCCCTGCCTTTAGTCTCCTTGGCTTTCTTTGGGCTTCAACTTCCCTGTGTCCTGAAATCTCTTTTAGTCTTCATTCTGTTCTGTGTGACATTCTGAGCCCAGTTTTTTCCTCTCAGAAGCTGGTTAGCAAATGCTTTAGTGTCCTAAGCAACAGAACATTCAGTTATGCCACTCCTCCAGCTCTGCCAGTCCATGTCAGAAGCAAAAGGAATGTAGCATAAATGGGGTGGGTAGGTTATCCCTTGCATCAGTGAAGTCACCAAATCAGTGCAGACAGCCAGAGAATACCAGTCTTTTTTTTAAAAAAGCCAAGTTTTAAGCTTGCTGGTGGTTCACTTACTGTAGGGTGGGAATGTTTGCCACAGAAAATGTATGTGTCTCTACTTGTCCTTTTCACTTAGTACTGTATTTATTTCCTATTATTAGTATTACTCAGCCAGGTTGTGTGTCCAGTCCAGTCCCTTCTGCCGCAAGGTCCACATCAGGGATGGGAACCTGCAGTCCTCCAATTGTTAGTGAACTACAGCCCCATCACCTGCGTTCACTGGCCATGTTGGTTGGGCCTTATGGGAGTTAAAGACCAACAACATCAGGAGGGCACAGGTTCTTAATTGCTAGTCCACTCTGCATCCTTGTTCCTGCTCCCAATCAATATAAATACTGCCAGAATTAATTACTTTGCAGTATTAAGTCTGCATGCAAAGTTCATACTGTTTCCTCTCCAGCCCCTCAGATGTGAAGTGCACTGAATATATGTTTTCACAACTGAATTCCATAACCTGTTTTGCTTTGTTGTCTCTGTGATGGAGTCTGCCAAGCCCCACTGAGTGCAAACATGGAACCGCCTTGTATGAGGCCAAGGAAGTCAGCGCTTCCTTTGGGCGGTGTTGGGTTTTCATCCTTGCTGAAAGAGGCCTTGTTTTCCTGAGTGGCGACGGGGAGGCGAATGGCATGCCATTTTGTGCCAGTTATGTAACGAGTTGCACTGAGCTTGCCATTAACCCCCTCCTAAGCCTCTCTTCCTTTAAATAAGCTGTTCTGTCAGAGTTGAAATGGAGCCACCAGTGGGGTGGAGAATGGGGCTGATTATCAGTCACAGGTAAAACATGCTGTAATGTTTAACTTTCAGAGAGGCAAATACCATGTACCTCTTTGAAATGTACTTACCTCTGGGATGTTTAGAATAGCAAATGGGGCTTGGTGGAAGCTAAACACAATTTGTCAAGGTACTGTTACTTGTTTGCTATTGCAGCCCCAAAAGCATCATTCAGGTCACGTTTGCATCTACAGCTTGCTCTTTTAAGGCACAGTTAGGAACTGGACTGAACAGAATGCCATAAGCTATTATGTAAACATTAAACCTGTATTGAAAATGACCTTTCCAGCTTGAATAGCTATTAAGTGAATAAGCTTTCATAGTTATTTTCAGCAGAGCCAAGAAGCAGTATCGTCTGTCATATCAGAGCTGGTGATAAAATGTATTTGGCTGCGCTGGCCTACTTGCCTGTCGCACACTGCCTGACTTTGCTTTTTTCTCCCCTCCCTTTTCTTTCTCCTGCAGTGGATTCCCTCTGCCTGAGATGGGCACCTCCCAAACACAAACAAGCCAAGATTTCCAAAAAGTGAAGGCAAAATTGACCTGAGAAGCCGAAGGTTATGCATCAGTACACGCCCACCCTTCATTTTAAGAGATGCTATAAGACTAAGCATTTGTGTTGGTCTTGCATGGGTCAGACATGCTCTGAGCAGATGAGCTGGAGGTTTGGGAAATGAGCTGTGCTATCCAGTATTGCAGCAACTCTGCTCAGGTATGCACTTCACTAAAGTGAAGACTGCCCACCTACTCTGCTTTCTGCATCTGCCTGACCTTGAATGGTAAACATCTTTCCTCTTGCCAGTCCTGGTGTTTTCCCCTGGTATGGATTCAGAATGTATGTCCTTCCTCTTGGAGTAGGCAAAGGAACACAGCCCTTTCTTCTACTGTCTCTGTTGGTCTGGAAACAGAAGTCCATTGCTGAGCTTCTCTAGCAAGAGACCCTAGGTAACTCCCTCCTGCAAGCAAGCAGGTCATGGCATAACTGATAGAGCAAGACACAAAGCAGTAAACAGACACGTAGGGTGGATGTTTGGGGAACAGTGGGTAGGGTAGTTAGCAATACCAAAGGGTTGTTAGAGGGATTACGAGTTCCTGTATTCAGGAGAAAGGACAGCTTTCACAGAAGCTTAGTAGTCCCATCAGTCTCCCTCAAAAGGCTGAAAGCCTAGTAGCTTTTTCCCAAGGGTATAAAGGTCTGCCTCTAGGTGAAGCGGTCAGCACCTTTATCTCCCTTTGAAGGATGCAGGAAGTCTGGATCTATCAAACAAATGATCCACCACACATGCTTTTGTTTCTGGCAGGATGGTTTTCTGGATCCTCCTACACTCATGCAGCTGTCAGCAGCTTGGAAAAAGAGATGGGTGGTATTTGCATTTTATTTTGTCCTGTCCTGCAGTCAAAGTTTTAAGGAGAAAACCAGCAAAGAAGGAGAACATTAATTAGAACTATGCTTGAGGGTTTGAGCCCTCAGACTGTGCCAGCACTAAGAGAGTCCTGACTTGGGCTTTTGCTTTCCTGGTTACCCTGGATTTTTTCATTTTCATTTGGAAAGTCTCAAACAGGGTGGTTTTATATGCAAAGATACTGTGGGAGTGGGAACAGGCAAGCATTGGGGTTTTCTAGGCAGAAGACAGAGCCTCCAAAATTTATGCAGTTGAGTATTGTGGGTTTGTTTCTCCTGACAAACTTGCACTTCAGCTGTATGAACTGCATAAATTCACGATAAAATGTGAAGGGACTTTTAAAGAAGACACCAAATTCTCTTGGACAGAGAGCATGTGGAAATGGTATGGCTAAAGAGGGAGGCTGCTGAAGTTCTTCACGGAAGCGTCCACACCTTGGTTTAACACTGGGGTTAGTGCTGATGGAACATAGTGGATCTAGATTGAAAATGCAAGAAGACGCAACCATTCGTATGGGGTCTTGCTGCCACTATTAGACTCATACATGATGTGAGTAGTGTGTTTTCTCTTACTTTGAGAAGTATTTTAATTAATAAAACCATAAAAGCATGGTATTGTTCAGTATCTACTCCTGTAATCTACAGTAATCTACAATGCTGGCAAATTTTGTTGGTGTGCGGGACAATGGGAGGAGCCATCTGTCCGCTGGGGAATATTGATGCAGCAGCTCAAAAACAGACTTAAAACAAATTAGGCCTTTTCCACATATTTGCAGCATAGCGAACAGATTTCTGTGTTACGTAGATAGGCGCACACTTAGACTCTTACTGAGGTGTCCTACATTAGCACTACTTGTTCATGTGTATGCTACCTGGGTAGTCAAACTTCAATATTCATAACCTAGGAGCTCCAATAACAGTCTCATTCCACTGAACCTGACCCATAACTGAAAGATATGATTTGACCTCATGCGACTTTGGCGTAGCAGTGATACAAAAGGCTGGCATCAAGTGAAATTCTGCTATGCTGCTTCTAAACAAAGAAGTTCTGCTTAAGTGTTGAACCTGGCAACCTTAGTGGATGTGGAATTATGATCTAACATACTTTCAACTAGAAAATTCTGTCTGCTTCATCAGTTGCATGTCTACCATAAAACTGGTTGTCTTGACTCTAGGTCTGGCCAGTTCGAGGAATTTTCTATTAGAATCCCAGATCTGTAGTAGGTCCAGATGTAGATTTATATTAATTTTTGCAGCTTATTCCAGTGTCTGGTTAAGCTTGATCAACAGCTGTACTGCAGGTGTGTTCCCGTCCAATGTACCTGAAGGTTTCCCACCCCAGTTTGTTTATTTTTTTTTTATTTTTTAAACATTTTTATGCCGCCCCATTCGCCGAAGTTTACCATTATGGCATATACTTCCTGGGGAATTGCTGTTTTTATTTAGCTGTGGAGATATGCTCAGGTATGTCACTGCACTTTACAAGCAGATGCTCATTCAGTCAGTATGTCAAGGACTAGGTCAGTCTCTAGACTCAGTTGCAGCATTCTGTAGAAGCCACCAAGGCTCCCCAGTAATAAAAACAGCCCTCTTCATCACAGAATTACTATTCACTTTATTAAAAACCCTTCATCATGAAAGTAGCATCTGAATTTCATTCTTCCTCTAAGAGAGCAAGATGCCTACATAATATTTTAAGTTGTGCAAATATAAGCTACCTAAAATCATTAAGTTCCCCAGAAGGGAGAGTAGATTTTTTTCTACCTGTTATCTCTTCATTCTCACACAAGGGCATGCCACGCCATTCAATACTCCGCCACACTGGCAACAGTTCAGTCTGTGTATCATTCACCAGCATACTTCTGTTGAGGTGCCCCATTGTGTCTTGTCTTACACTCAAATTAAATTGCACCATAACATAATCTGAAGCTGACAATGAGGGACATTTCATTCAAAGAACATTGCTGACATTTCCCAAAACTCACATTCTCTCTCTCTCTCACACACACACACACAAAGCTCTACCAGTGGAAGGATTTGCTGCTTACAAAACAAACGGAAAGTACAGTCAACACACAACCAAGGATCACAATGTAGCAATTCAGAAGGGGGTTAGACTGGCACCATTTTCCCACCTCCTTTTTTCAGTTTTGGAGCTGGAATTATTCATGGGTAAACATGGAGACTTGACCAGTCCTGAAGAGATAAATTAAGGGCCAGCAAAATCCGAGCAGCAGAGAGGAGTGGGTGTTATGGAACACAGTCTTTCCTCAGTGGCTGGCTGTTCTTTCACAGTCACATCAGCAAGGGTCAGTCCTCCAACTCCAGTCAATACAGTCTGAGATGTGAATAGGAACAGTGGGCCAGTTGGGCTACCCACACATCCTGCTTCCCAAAGCTCACGACCCCACCCTGTAGCCAGGCATTGTCTGCTGGTTGTGCAGGGATTTCCCCAGTGGTCTTAGAAAAGGAAATTGACTAGAGCAGATTAGGCTGCTCTGTGAGGTGTCAAAATGTGTATATCAGATAGTAGTCTTAACTGGACTCCAAGTGAGTGCCATTGCTTGGGTGGGTCCAGTTCACTTCATAACATGAGGCCAGACCAACAGCTGGCTTGTCTAGAAACTCTGCAGACCCTGTCGGAGGCAAAGCTGAAAGGATAGGCAAGAGCCTGTGTAAAACTTTGGGAAGCTGGAATAGTGTGAAGAGGAAAGGACTTCCACAAAGAATCAAGATGGCAGCTGCACTCCACACATGGAATGGCTTGACTTTATGAGTGGGAAGCTTGGAAGGGCACATGAAGTGATCTGGAAGCAGTATCAAGAGGCAGATCAAGGCACACAAATCTGTATGGAGAATAAGCCAGAAGCAGAAGATGCTAGGCAGTGGCCTTGGGGATCTGTGGGAAGTGAGGCCCAGAAAGTGGTAAGAGAGGGCGGCTAAATGCAATTTCATAACTTAATGGAAGGCTGCCATTTCAGGACCACAAAATGGAGTCTAGCCATGACCAGTCTAAAGACAGGCAGTTAGGGCAGGGGGACTTGCCACGAATTAACAGGTCAGAAAGAAACCCTGTTGGTATAAAGAACACACAGGACTGAGCAGCGGTTCTGCCGTTTTGTAATGATAGCCACCAGCATCACATGTGTTTCAAGCACACTGGAAAAGCCTGAGCTGTGACAGACCGTGAAATTGTGGGACCATCCACTTGGGTATTGCCCTGTGCAATAGGATGCACAATTGCTGTGTGATTTATACAAGGCAGTGGAAGCTTAGGAGGAGGAGGAGGAGGAGGAGGGGCAGGCTGGCTGTGCAAGCCCAGGAGGCAGCACTGTCTGAAGGATGATGGGCGGAGTTGATAGGACGGTTCCAGCCTGGTGCGGGCTGGATGCCATCATAAGGTCCAGAAGGGATAGTGGTGGGGCACATGCCCTCCTCAGAGACTGGCTCCACACTGGCGACCACTTCACTGAGCTCCACTTCTGGGACTTTCTCCTTAATCCAGTCAGCATAGGTTGAGGTGCGGATATAGACACCAGGCCTATTGGGGGCTCCACACGTATCTCCCCAGCTCACTACTCCAGCCAACAACCAAGCATTGCCGATGCGACAGGACAGAGGTCCTCCGGAGTCACCCTAAAAAAAGGGAGAATATCATTTAGAGATGATGTTTGCATTAAAGGTGACATGGGTAGGTCTGAAAGCCCTCAAGTTCACAGGCTGGGGAGTGCCACTTAACCCTGCATAAGTCAGAAATTTGGAGGGGGCCAAAGTATTTAATGGGGGCAGAGTTGTTCAAGATATATCTTTAAAATCATTCAGCATGGCATTATTCCCTGTCTTTTAACTATACCCTCATACCCTTACATGTTTCAACAGCATGCTGTTGTATCACTTAGAGGCCCATATTCACAAGGGAGAGGCCATTTCTGGCTCCAGTCTCGTTGCTTGAGCAGGACTGGGGGCAACTGCAGGTTTGGCTGTATCACATGCCTGCAGGTCTTTACAGAACAACAGATGTACTGCAGAAATGTATTCCCTTGCTACTAACCACAGCATTAAAAGTGCTCCAGAATCAAGGTAGCAAAGGGACTTAACCCCTGAAAAACAGATCCTACTCCAGGCCTCACTAGAGTGCCTGCTTTTCCCCACTTCCCCAATGTGTAGATTGGTGCTTAGAGTGAACAGATTTGGCTGGCTGAGGCCAAAACAATCAAAAGGGCAAATCCAGCCTGCTGATTAATGTGAAGCACAATCCCCTGTGCAAATCCCACAGAATGAACAGTGCCCAGCTTAGCTTGCAGCTCTGCATGCTAATACTGCTTGGCCCTGCCCCTTGCCCAACTAAAAAGCATTCTCACTCTTTCCTTCCTCTTCCTGGTCTCACCTGACAGGCATCCTTCTTTCCTTCAGCAAAGCCAGCACAGATCATGTCACTATGGATAATGTGGGGGTCCTCCGGATCTGGGTTCTTGCTGTACAGGCACTTGCAGGTGTCCGTCCCGATAATGGGCACTTCAAGCTGCTGTAACGTCATGGGTGAGGGGAGGCTTGCTAAAAAGGAGAGAATTCAGAGTCAGGACCTGGGAGTGGACGAGTTTCTCCAAAGGGAATGTATATTATGGTTACGCTCCAAAGATCTAAAAGTACTGACTTCACTTGCACAAGCAGGTCTAATAATACCAATGCCTGTACATAATATGTGCAAGAAAGGAATTCAGCATATTCTCAAGTAGGCTCTTCATTGCTACTTTGTCTGTTACATGAGTTGGTCCTCACGACAGAGCCTTTTCAGTGGTGGTACCATTATTATAGAATAACTGCGTTGTTGAAATCCACTGAGCCTCAACCCTTATGCTTTTAATCTTCAGGCAAGCTGCTGATGACTTTGTAACTTCAGTGTGATTTTAATGTTCAAGTTTGATTTCTCCAATTACTGTTCTCCATGTTTAATTCCACTGATGTTTTTGCAACTAACTGATTTTCTTGTGCTTTTATTATTTTTGAAATTTCCATTTTTATTTCACTGTTTCATTGTATATCTTTAAATTGTTGTAAGTTACTTCATCTATCATTGTCCTGATGGTGAAATTTGGAAATGGGTTTCGGGTAGTCTGAGCCCTGACTTGTGCTAGGATGGCCAGAGAGAGATCTTCTATAAATTGCTGCCCACCTCCCATCAGAAATGCAGAGGCACCATAGCACCAAAACACATCACATCACTGAATAAACAGGAGGGATTGTGGTCCCTGGATCACAATGCAGCCTCAAGCACATAGGCCAAATCTGATCTGCTATGGCCCCTATCCAGCTCACTAGCATTCCCCAGAAGGCCATGCCCCTTCCACTGGACCACCTTTTGTTCCTCCATCACCAGTTGTTTGGTGGCTTCACAGTTTTTGTGCATTTCCCCTTATTTTAGAAAGCCGAAATGTCTCTCTTAAGGCTTTGTTACTCACAGTTAAGAGCCTTACACTAGAATAATATGTTGTATTTTTTTAAAGTCCCCTTCCCTTTTGCCTTTGACACTGTCCATTACTGGAATTCAGCCCCTGAGAAAATCTCCAAAATTGAATTGGGCCCTTGGACTGAAAAAGATTCCCCATCCCCATCCCTCAGGTGGAATTTTTTTCCTTACTAGATGTGAGCACGTTCCCCCAGCCGGTGACAGTGCACTTCATGCCACTGGGGAAACTGACAGATGAAGCAGGCAGGCAAATGGGCCGGACTGTGCGGGTGTAGGGAACGGGTTCCTTGAGCTTCACCAGGGCAAGGTCCCCTTTAGACCCTTCATCTTCGGTGAAGTCAGGGTGCTTGATCACCTCTGACACCAGCCTCACAACAATATCTGGTGAGGGGTTTTTGAGCTGGAAGGCCCCCAGGGTCACATCGTACATATTAATTGGATTCACCCTGCAGAGGGAAGAAAAAGCAACACATGTATCTCAAAATGCATTCTTAAGGTGCGTGTCGCCAAGGTTATACGGACACCCCCCCCCCCCCCGGGATCAGACCAAGAGATAGTATAACCTAGCATCCTGTTTCCAACAGTAAGCCTCCAGGAAGCACATAAGCAGAGCAGGTACAGTCCACCACTTCATTTTGTCCCCAGAAACTGGTATATGGTTAGTGGTATACTATATTTTAACATGGAGCTTCTTCCATTTCACTAAGAAGGTACAGAACCACGTAGACCTAAAAGCCTGCTTGACCAAGAACCATCACACCGCATCTAGTGGCAGCAAGTCCTGTCAGTTAACAAAAAATACGTAGAAAAACTTCCTTTTGCCACTCCTGGACCTGCAAGCACTTCACTGATTGAGAGCTGACCTACCACAGCAGCAGTAAGAACAATCCTGTGCAAGGTTGATAGGAAACATCATACAACTCCCAGCTTTCCCAGGGCTGGCTGGAGAATGCTGGAAGTTTTAGGACATTTCCCTGTCCAAACATTCAGATGACTGTAAAGCAAATTACTTCAGAATGGCTTGTCTATCTCAGTTTCATAGATTCCTTCCCTATCTGCAATCTAGGGAAAGAAAACTGGTCAGTCTTACAGGGTTGTTTTCAAATTACTACCAGATCTTATAGCTATACTACCAGAAATCTTATATCTATTGGATTCTAGTAATTCCCAAATTAACAGAGCCTTGCAGTCTCACTAGTTTTTAATCTACACCTGGATTTTGAAGCTGCCATCACTTAAACCCCATCCTCAAAAGACATCACAGTTTCCCACCCTGCTCACTACCCCCCTTGACCACATCACCCCACAAGGATGCCTCACACTTACGGAGGGAAGCAATGTGCAGCTGTGACCAACCACTGGGGAGTGATGAGGGTTGCTCCACACACATGATGACCGTTGAAGTTAAGGTTGGCCTGCCAGGGCCACTGTCCACTTTGGGCATCCATGCCACCCACGATCCGGCCCAGGGATGGCACCCCGCACAGGACTGCAGGGAACATTAAAATGTTACGGTTATCATCACATCATGTTTTTCATACAGGATGAACAAGCAATGATTTGAGACAGTATGCAGGTCAGTGTGTGTATTTGCTATCCCTCCAGGAAAGATAAAAAATGGCATTTCACGTGATATTTGGATACTGAAATCAGCATCATAAGAACTTTTTCATTTTGCATTAAAAATAACCCCCAAGTTTCTTGTCTGTAAGTCTGGGAAGATATGCCTACTTGTGTGTGCATAATGGTTACTGAAATCTCAGAGATCAAGGGCTGCTAGATTCCCAATGTATTGACAGAAAGCCTTCAGTGCCTGAATATCTGGAAAGGAATTGGCAGTGTTTTAAAAGAGACACTTTCTAGCATTGCCTTTGGAGATTAATACAGTGATCATTAAACCCTGACTGTTGGAAGCAAACAAAAAACACAAATCCTCACAGGATATGGGGAGGAATCAGAGTTAAACTCATGTGCAAGGAAACAAGATATGGTTAATTATTTCTAAAGAAATCTAGTGTAACATTTACAAATCTCTTACCTTGTGAGCTGGTCTCTTCTATGACTGCAGAATATAAGCAGGAGAGAAATATTGTGCAGCAGGGAATAAAAAACAAAACAGGATATCAGTAGGGTGTAAGGACAATACAATCTTACAGAAAACAACACCCCATCCTGGAAAACAGTATTGATTCTCTCTTCTTTTTGTTTTTTAATATACGAAAGAGTATCTGAAGAGGTTTGCAAACCAAGAATCATGAAGATTCTAGCTTTGTAGGTCTGTTTGTGAGTACGGCAATATTTTAAAAAGTTACCTCGTTCTGTCTGAAAGCTCAGGGAATACACCCAAGAATCCTGCTATAACCTGCTATACTCTGTCAGACTGATCTGCTCTATCTGGGCTGTGGTCTATTGAAACCTTTTTACATTCCACAGTTGGAGTATTTACAAGAGTGTATAGATTCAGATGGTAAAGGTTTTCCAGGACTGCATCAGATCAAGCAGTGTGTGGGAAATGGGAGTGAGCATGGGGGTAGGTCTTTGCCTGTATGTAAAAATTAGTTCTACCAAATAATCATTTTTTCTGCTGATTTGATAAATTGCTCACTGGTCCCAGGTAGGTCCTAATTTGGATCACGACTCAGCCCTGACCCCTCCCCTGACCCCTGTCCTCAAAGGTGAATTAAGCAGAATGCAGCTGAGAACAGGCAGGGTGTTTCTCGCAAAGCTGCAGTGCCATTAAAAGTTGTACCACAGGTAGAAATCCAACAGGAACAGCTGCCAAGGGTGCTGCATCTCTTTAGTTTCCAACTTGTTGTGAAAGACACAGGGGAAAAGTTGAGGGTGGAGGGAAGCAGCCTGATCTAGATCCAAAATCACCATACTTGCACCAAGTGACATCACAATGACAGAGAGAGAAAAGCAGTTTCTCCTGGCCTTTCTGAGATTCCTCCGTAGGTTGCATCTTTTGCCTCAGGAGAGGCCATCTATGGGAGGGACCTTGGGTGGGTCTCAGTGTTCCTCCTACCCCAGATTCTCTTGCTACAATGAACTCTGCTTCCCATCCTGCCAACCTCCAGCATGCTCTCCAAACTGAGAATCCTGCCATACCAGGAATTCCTGATCGATGAGCCTGGGCTGGCTTGGAACACATCCAGCTAGACAGTCATTGAGGACACTGTGAGAGAGGCCTTGGCGCTGGGAAATAGGAGGTTGCTCTTACACCACCGAATCGGATTCTGTTCTGCAAGTTTCGTCCCTGAAGGCAGTAAATGACTCAAGGAGAAGGCTATATAACACTTCATCTCTCTACACAGCTTGGTCAACCAATCACAGAGGACTTTGTCCATTTCCCTTCTTTCCTTTCCTTTCAGGCAAAACTGAATGCCTGAGCGAACTACTTCTGGCTTCTGGACTGGGGATGGCAAGTTTTCATGCGGCCTCAGGAGCTGTGCTTTTCATGCAGCTTGGTATGAGCAGGCAGCATTTTTACTGCTAACTATTAGGTTTGAGGGGTCTGTTTGTCCATTCTATTTAATATTGAAAACACTGTGTAAGCTCCTTGATGCACTCATCTTCATTATTTATTGCATTTATATCTTGGCATTCCTTCAATGAGTTAAAGGCAATCAACTTGATTCCCCCCTCCCCCATTTTATCCCCACAACAATCTTGTAAGTCAGAATAGGCCCCTGGTCACAGTGAGTTTCATGGCTGAGTGGGAATTTGATCCTAGGTAATCATAATCTAACCATCTATTTATTGCAGTGTAGGCCTCAAAGAGAGATCAGAAATACAAAGTTTTAAGAAGGAATTATTGGTTTATAGAGGAATCAAACCTACAACCCTGACATTATTCTAGAGCATCTGCTGTAGAAACTTAAACAAACAATTAGCACCACACTCTAATCAACTGCGATAATCACCCCACTTTCCATAATTTACTAGATTAAAAGGGACCAGCAAATGGCTTTTCCTGGTCAAGTGGGAAAAGGGCCTTTTTGCACAAAGAGTAGATTTATTATTTTACAAAAACAGATCTACTATTTTTATCCCATTTTTCTTTCCTAAGGGCATGCAGAGTGATTCACAAAGCTGAACTATACACAATTACCATAGAAGCAAATCAACTGGAAAGCAGCAGCAGCAGCCAGATAAAACCTGATTCAAAACAGCTGATTAAAAGACCAGCACAGCCTAATGACAGTCCAAAGGCACACCAAAACAATGCAATCCTTCAATAAACATTTAAAGACACCCTCCAAAGGAGACCTCATGTATCTACTGGAGACAGGGGAAGCATAGTATTTCAGGGTCTTAGTGCCTCTTCCAAGGTACCCTGATACTGGCAAAGGTAGACAATCAAAGGATTTATTAACCACAAATGATGCCCCAAAGCATTTCTTCTCTTGGTGCAAACAATGGTTGCCATGTTCTTGCATCCTCCAGGTGCACAATTTTGAACACAAGGATTGCCAAGATTCAAGCCATTCCTGGAAATCCTTTCCCTCTAACCCTATTTGCATGGAGGCCTAATCATGTTCTATTGATGCAGGAAATAGCAGCACATGCTCAGGGACATGCTTACAACTGCACATATCCCCATGCAATGTCTAGGAATGAAGCCATTTCAGGTCAGGCTCAAACAAACCCGTCTGCCCAGCCTTTATTTTAGGTTCTCACAAATGAACAGTTTTCCCACTCCTCCACATCCTTCCACTAAGGATTCCTGTATAGCCCGTTGAGTCCCTACAACAAGCCACAGCAACTGCAAGAAGGCTGTAACATTTTCCATTTCCCTGCACCTGCCCTGTTTACCTTTAGGAACCCCTGACTTGTACTATGCCAAAATATTTGAACCACCAACCCTGAACTCCACTGGTGGCATTTTTCAGTAAATGCTGAAAACATTCCTCCAGGGAGTCACTGCATTCATATGACTGTCCTCAAAATAACATGGGTCTAGAACGTATTTTGGTTATGAAATGAAACAGAGCCCTCTACCACAAATAGAGACACAGAGAAGACACACACACACAACGTCACCACCTAAATTCAACTCCTGGCCAGACTTCATACTCATATCTTGCTATTTCAGGTCCACCTAAAATAGAAGATTGTAGCTGTATGAGCAAGTAGGACATCTTAAAATAGAGTCAGGTCCAACTGGTTGGGTTGCCTACCTGTGACGTTTAAACCTGCCCCACCCCAGGGGACAAAATGTCACCAAGAGAAACCAACCTGACCTATCCCTGCCCTTCTGTAGCATCCCACCTCCTAGGGCTGCATTCCATCAGGTGGCCGGCATCTACAGGACAGGGGTGAGCAAAAAGAACGTCACAGGCAATTTACCCCCAAGGGCAGATTTGTATCATTCCCTGAAGTCCTATGACAGTTTCCCCAGCAATAGATAAGCAAAATTCACCTGTCTTGTTTCATTTTGACCCATTCTTCCCAGCAAAACAAAAACATCCTCCCCACATTAAAATCTGAGGAGAAAACCAGCCACAGGAGTCAGCAATTTATGACCTTCTGGTTGTTTCACCTACAGTTCCTATCATCCTTCACCACAGAAAGCTGCCTTACTGCAGAATTTCTGACCCTCTCTCAGGAATGCAGAAGGATTTCCTCCCCCCACCCCAGGTCCTTTCCTGTCCTTTCGGCAATCACATACAGACTCACACACAGAACAACATGAATTTTCTAAGTGCCAGTGTGTCCCATATTGCAGTGTCCATGCACAGTAAGATCAACAGGCCTGGAGAACCGCAAGATTTGCAAAAGTACCAAGAAAGAAAAAAGTTAGAAATTACACACATGCTAATGAAGGAAGAAAGATGCAGAACAGCCCATTGATGATTGATTGTGCTCAGTGATTAGAAGAATGTCAAAAATCTGTTCGGGGCAAGGTGAGAAGAAGGCTAAGGCAAGCAGGGTGGAGGATGGATCAGAATGAAGTTTCATGAAAGAGAGTATGGCTGGCTAGAATCCTAAACGGGAACATTCTACGGTTCAACAGTGTGTTGCACATTGCATTTGTTGAACTAACCTGAACCTGCCTATGCTTGGCAGATTCATCTCCCTCTTTGCAAATGCATGAAGCATATCTTAACCACGGAATTGTCAGAGGCAGCGCTTGAGCTGCGTGGGAAGACATGCCCTCTCCAACCAGGCAGGTGTTGAGCTAGGGAGGTAAGCAAAAGACACTCCGCAAAAGCTCCATGGTTCCTTTAACGGTATTCTCATGCTTTGAGACTGAGCACTACCACTGAAAATAGGTGGCAGAACTATACTGGAAGGAGCCATGGTTAAGTGAAAAGCCTTGGTGGGAAATATGCTGCAACTAACTTTTTTATTAACTGTATTCATATTGCATTTGGATATAGACAGATCCAAACTCCACCAGAGATTATTTCGGGGTCGAATACACACATACCAGTGAAGGATTTGCACATGCCAAACTTCCACAAGCACATACATGCATGTGCATGCAAACAGCACACCACTTCCCACCATTACTAAGTATTTGGCT